TGTCCCATGCGTTTCACTCATCTTATAAGTTATCTAAATTTGATTAAATATTGTAGTTAAATAATCATTTTTTCATTCACTGCTTTGTTCAAGTAATAATTAATCTTCGTTCAGTGATAGGAACTTTCGTATCTTTTCCAAAAAAATACAACAATAAAAAATACGCATGCAAAATCAATCAAATTTTCTGAATCTCCGAAAATGTGCTCACTTTATCTATGTAACTCAAGACTTTGATGTGATTAGTTTAGTTAACAATTAGTTCTTAATATTAATCATATTAATTTTTAAATTATGTCGCAATTCAAATATATGCCAGAGAACCAATCGAAGTTTTGTTATAGATCTTCAAAACATTACAGGTCGCAACTCCACAAACATAACCTATTGTTTATTCTTTGCCACCACTATTTATTTCCATTTGATCTTCTACAAATACTGCACTTAATTAGATGTTTGTGGATATTGTTTGTCGCTCAAGTAACATACACGGTAGAAAAGTGTACCTAAATTCCTCGGCCTTACGCGTTGATGTAGCCTAATGAAATGCGACAGCTGAACCCACCCGGCCTGCCTCACCCGGCGCTTGGTGGGCGGACAGTGCCTCACCCGGCGCTTGGTGGGCGGACAGTGCCTCACCCGGCGCCTGGTGGGCGAACAGTGCCTCACCCGGCGCCTGGTGGGCGGACAGTGCCTCACCCGGCGCCTGGTGGGCGGACAGTGTCTCACCCACCCAGCGTGCCTCACCCGGCGCCTGGTGCTTGCAATGATCATGTTTAATAACGGTTCAATATTTGTTTAAACAGAAATTATTATTTCATATATTCTCTAAGATATTCTCTGATATATTCTCATGCAATCTTATTGAAAACGTGCAATCTTTTTGAAATATATCCTAACTAGCAAAAATTTCTATAGTCTGTTATTATTTACTTATTTTTCAAGTTCCATGAATTTCAAGTTTCTTCCACATAGCAAACCCGTCAATTATTTGTACTATAACCTTGTATTTTGAAGTTAAACTACAACTAGCCAAGCGAATATAGTGTCAGTGAACACATTTCTACAATGGAGTCGTGGTTATGATCTGCAGCAGCCACCTAATTAATTTTGAATCGTTTATTGCTCATTTCATTCATGTCTATTTTAAAAAAGAATGCGTAGCATTCCATAAATTTTAACCATTCAATAAAAAAACATTCAAATTTTAACATGAACGTTAAAGTCTAGTTTGTTAAAGTCTAAACATATTGAAATGACATATTTCAGAAATTAAATAAACTCCTGTTTAACGTTTATACCGCACATATGTGTGAACCCAAATGGTGTTTTCACACACGGATGTTCGGCGAGATTTGCGAGCGATCGTGTGCTAGATTGTTGGTTGCGCAATCTTTTCCACTTTTTTACGCCATATCTGTTCTGCGTTACCTCTTTTCCATTGAGAAAATGTCATTGAAAAGGTCAAACTATTGTTGCAGCGAAGCGATGAAATGTCTTTTGCCATATCAAAACTGAATCGTCGTCGCTTACTTTGCATTTTCATAGCTTGGTTACTCAACGTTGGTTCCTCAACTATTCAGTATCAGTATTCTAGTCAGCTTATTATTCAACGACTCCAAAGTGTCGATTTGCAATTACAATTTGTTTGTTTTTACCCATAAAGTCCCACATCCACAAATTGCATCACTTCTTCAATCAGTAAAATTTATGAGTAAAAAGCGTCCTTCGTGCGTGGTTCAATCGCAGCTCGAGTCTTGATTGCATTTATAGCTGACCGCCGCACCCGCGTTCAGATATCTACTATTCACTTGATCAACGTTGAAATACAATAGCGAATGAGATGACATTTGCAGCAGCTGTTTTAGAGGACTTTTGCCGGTACTATTTCATAATTCATGTTGGGAAAAATGCCAATAGGACGAACAATTTCGATTTATCTGCCTTTGAACGTTGCCCGTTAAATTCACATTAGACGTTAGAAATGCATCAGAAAGATGAAGATTCATCTTATTCATCTTATTTTGGTATAAGGAGAAATTTATCATTCATTGTATTAATTTTATTGTGATAATAGATCTATGCTCGTGGGTTAAACTGACATGCCAGTTACAGTATGGTTAAATGATCTATGCATGAGGTCCGTTGAAATTTTTTTCAGTATAACCTGCGCTGCTATGCACTATAAAACATGTTTCTATTATTATTCTGATGCCTGTAGTTATGGGGCGTACGTAGCTAAGAGATTGTTTCGTGTTGTTTATGATTATATATAATATCAAAATGCCGCATTCCATTTCTGTTGATATCCATATTTTCTTGCTAATATTTCTATCAACGATTTTTAGTGCATTTTCTCATTTATGGAAAAAAGGCGCTATTGTGCTCGTCGTGTCCGTCCGTCCGTGACTTCACGTTTTCGTCGATTTTAAGAATACTTTTTAACATGTCGTGATTTAGATTATACTTTTAGATTGTGCACGAGAAAATGCTCTTTCTGTCACTCACTGCAGTACTGATCTATTTTTTGAATAACCATTTGAAAAACTTCCATGCACTTCAAATTAAACATGATCATTACCGAGCGAACACCATTCGTTTTTTCTGCTATCTTGATCATTATCACCTTAAAATATTACGAATTTCATATTTTGAATTAATAGAAATTTAACTTTTCCGTTTAACTCTCAATTTATCAGCCCCAATGAAGTACGTGAGTATAATGTATACCAGTGCGTTGGGAATCGATATTGAAATCCTGGTTTTTATTTAGGATGCAAAATGACTCATTACGAATCAGTACACTTTATTGTGAATTTTTGTCGTTGAAATTCCAACCGCTATGTGCAAAAAATGAATTTCAGGTAACTTCATCTCCCTTGCGAACCGATTATCATAACAATGGCATGCGTTGATATCCTGAGCAGCGTCATTACAGATGATAATGTGTATGTTCGAATTGGCAATTGGCTTAAAAATTTTTAAGACCCTTGTTAATTACCTACTATCCTCCTAATATTTTGGAGGAATGAGCTTCCGAAAATAGTATGTGTGCTGTATGATATAAATAAAGGAAAGCATACTATAGTATAGTACACTATATTATAGTATAATATATGCTATAGATATAAAATACATACACTTTACTATTCATGTATACAAAACACCTAAATAGGTTCTTAAAATAATCCGGGCTTCTAACAACTGGCTTTTGTTTCGTCACTATTTTAAGTGGGACCTATAAGCTGCTGTAGCGCCCCGCGCCTTGATCTTCAGGCATCCTATAGGTGCTCGACCGAAACCCGGTGAACTGCAACCGGTTCCTGATCTGTCTTGTTTTTGCGAAAACAAGTCATTTATCGTGACTTATGCGCTTAAAACTCCGAGTTTTTAAATTCTTTTTAGTCTTCGTTCATCTAAAAGTTTGTACATAGAAATAAGTTGTTCTCTTTAACGTTGAATCTAACTTAAGCGTTGACCGGACAGCCTGAGGTTCAATTATACTTATGAAACGGAAACTGCGCGAAAATTGCACATGGAATACTACACTCGTAAATTTGGAAAATTTCCTGTTCAAAGTTATATTAAGATTGATTGAATTTTATAGCAATACTGGAGACAACGTTTGAACATTGAAAAATGGAAAAAATCTCTTTGTTTAAAAAATATCAGGATCTGGTATTCATCTTGTGATCTACTAGCTTGAATTATTAGACAATACATGTATCTGACAAAAAGAATTTCTCAATCGTTGCCATTTCATTTATTTCTCTAGCGCCATTTATTGACATTGACTATATAGTTAATCGCTTTTTGGCCGCCACGCTTGGCACTCGCCGGGAAAAAACCCGCACGCCGGAGGACTGAGCTCAATGAATGCGACGCTCAGGCCTCCAAGACTGCAGCATGTGGGCAGAATTCCAGCTCTATCCGCCCTCGCAGCTCTGGTCGGTTCGAAAAAAGTTAAGAGATCGTAAGTTCATCAGCCAATCATTGACGGCTTTTCAAGAAAAATCCACCAATTGTAGGCAGAAAATAGAGCGTAAGTACTTACGTTCACTTAGCGAGTTCTGAAAGTATGACCCCTGGTCGATTCGAAAAAATTTCTTATAGTGGATCTACCGCCTTCGCTTTGATTAATTATAGTTATAGAACTTTGTGAGTCGCTGTTTTATTGTAATAACTACCATTAAAATATATTGGTGAAATAATATTGATGACTGGCAAACAAGAACTCTGTGAAAAAAATGCAAATCTGGCACTCAGAGAGAACGAAGTAAATTTCTCTATTATTAAGATCCTACCTCTTATTTCTATATATTTTCATTGATCAAGTTTCAAACTTAATCAGAGCCATACCTTCAATTTCAATATACTTCCGAACACTCATCTTGCCACATTTGACCCGTGTTTCGTACGCTTGGTTTTGCGACGCATGTCACAACACGTTGATGTTTTTGAAAGAATATTTTGCCTTATCCCAGATCGCAAATCAATTATTATTTTTTTTAATTCTATCCGACGTCTGCGCTATGTATAAATGCGGGTTCATTACGGCTCTCCTATAATGCAAACTCTTGCAGTATTTTGAATTCACAAGTCAACACACACTCTGTCATGAGTCCCGGCGACCCACTTTCGTACTTGCCTCAGTCCAATCTGTTTACGTGAAGGTGCCGGGCTTATCTGCTATGTATTTGCTCTGCATTTTTACTCTAATGTTTTTTCCCTGATATGCTTACCTAAAGAACATACCGCTGTCGTCAAGCTTCATTTTATTGATATATCGGATTGAGCACCCCGGATAATATTGTGCAATGTCGCGCACTCGAGTTTCTCATAAACTCTGTTATTAAACAAAGATAACTTTGATGCATAATTAATCAATCAAAATTTATTTTTAAACAGGAATACATTGAGCATGCCACTTATTGTCCTCCTCTTCTTTCAGTTTTGTATCGTGATTGAACAGGTTTGGTTCCTCATTCAATTATTACTGGATTGGTATAATCATAATTTAATATTGATTTCATTTACTTCTTTTGAGCTACTTATTCTCGTACGTTTGTGTTAAATTTTTTTACTTGTGAGTAAAACATTTATGCAATCCAAGGTTTGCATTTATGGTTGATATGAGACGATAGTGTTTTAATTCAAAGAAAAACTGCATTAGTATGGTTCCGTGCGTGTACTGGTCATGCTATCCACGAGTACTGCCCCAGGACTGCATTACGGTACTCTGCAGTCGTTCGTGACACTTTTGTCGCCACATTTGGGAGCTCAAGAAAGCGAAGTGTGTAGTAATCTTGCAACGAAACCTGTGGAAGTCACTACTGGCATTTCAGGTTTCCATACACAATCATATCAAGTGAGAAACTTCGATATCAAAATGGCTTCTGACGAGGGAAATAAGCTTCCTGAAATGCCTCACACATGTCCGGATCATAAGCTGAAAAGAATGAACGAAAGGATCGATGACTTGCACAACATGAACATACTGATGCCTCCAAAGCCCATCAAGTCTGCCAGAAAATCTAAACTCGAAGCGCACGCACGAGATGACATGAGCTTAGCCAGCGGCAGCTTCGACGTTGGCAAAGTTCCTTTCAACCGAAGATGCAGCGTCGGCGGCAGCATTGCGAGTCTAAGCGACAGTTTCTCAGGTTCGAGCAATGATAAAATGCACTTCGCGTCCCCCGAACTGAATCCCAAACTGATGGCGGTACTTGGGCCACATGCCACCTCAGCTTTACTCTCGTGTAGCCCCGTAAGGCGCACCAGTGTGGATTTTAATGCTGGGTTTGAGGACGACTTCACTGCAATTCTGAGGAAAATTACAGCTCCCTCTTCGCCCCCAGCATCTGCTCCAGGCACACCGAGTAACAAGAAAAATTTCCTGCCAGTTAGTTCATTATCGATGGACGAGTCATCTTCAACAAAAGATGATGATGATGCCCCCGAGTGGTACAATGTTCCTAAGATTATCGAATCTAGAGTCCCGGTCTCAGAATTGGAAGATTCAGATGCACCCCTGACTACGGAAAGTACCAGCAAGCGTGTACCACGTCCGACATCGCTATACAGATCTAACTCAGATAGCTGCAGACTAAGAAGTAAAATATATTTACGAGATAAGTTCAGCAAAGCATTGAGTGTGAAGCATGAGGAAGACGAGCATAATTTATCTGACGACGAGGTGTTCTCGACCGTCGAAATCCGCGCCGGCCATTTGGATGTACCTTTTCGTCACCGCACTCTGTCTCCGATATCTCAGTCTTCCAGCTCAGGCTCGCCCGAGTCATTCGAAGAATCGTCGCCTTGTGCCAATACTTTGGATGCGGATAAATGCTTAATGCCTGATGCTACAGAAACATCAAATAGACTCGAATCACCTGACTTGACCGTCTCATGTCCTACGGATCGATATGAAAATCGCGCTGACGAAAAACAAGTAAAGCCTCTAAACCGTGGTGCCACCGCTTCTTCTGGCGAGCATCCAGATGTTCCTGGAGGCAACATAGCTACGACGGCCACATCAGAGTTTCTGGCAAAGGGTCTAGGTTCTGCCTCTCCACTTATCGATGTTCGTCCGCTGAGTGTGTCGCATTCATCCGAAGGACCTTGTACAATCCGTCAAGATGCAACAATTCCTACAGATCCTACGACTTCACGGTCCGTCGACCCTGAAATCCAAGAACAGCGCTCAACCGACTCCAAAAGATCTAAATCATATCAGGTATCGGAAAAGTTGAACGGGAAAGATACATTCATGGATCCTCAGAGTTACGAAATAATTGGCCCTTTCTCGTTGGTATTAGTAGTTCGTGTTCTGGGCAATACGCTGCTTGAGCGATGCTTTCTGTCACAAAAATCGTCACCATACGTCCAACTTCGACGTCGGTCATCCAACAAGAACCTCGAATCGGATTCAAATAATGTTTTAAAATCTAAAGAAATTCAAAATTTCACGCTGGAACCACAAACCTCTGCCCAAAAGTTTTCTATCTCCTTGGTTAACTCGTCTTGTCCAGACGGACAATTAATTAAAGAAACTCACTCTTCGATCTATGCCTCAAATTCTAGCTCTGAAAAATGGCCTCGGAGGCCATCGCATAATTCCCTTCGAACGGCGCTGCAGTATGTGAGCCAGAGGAATGCCCTGGGGTTGCTGCTCTTGATCCTCTCCTTTCTACCACTTGTGATACTTGCCGGAGTGCTTGATATCTCATTGTACGTCTTCAGTCTGCTATCCCAGGTAATCAGATTCCTCGCTTTTTATGCAACATAAAGGTTTTTATGATGCATCACTGTAAGATATCAGAGATCAAGTCTTATATAAGATTGTATTGACGTCTAAGTACCGATGGTGGCTTTTTTATCTAATTGTAAATTTTGAATCGCCTACTTTAGGTAACCTCATCGCGTGTCATGAGTGCTCATTACTGAGACCTCCGAGAACTAATTCTGTATTTACCGTTTTATTTTCTTTGGAAGCAAAATCGCACCTTTATTAGTTTTATCTCATTTTTTATGTGCTCACGACTTCCTAAATTTTCGTGCCCTAAGACCCCGGTCTTGAGAGATGCTGCAGTTCTTGGTCGGGCGGCTTGGATGGCTGCCAAATATATACCTGGAAGAACTGGACTGAAATCCAGAATCCAGGCTGTGCTAGGACATCGCTTTGATTTTTCCAAAGAAACCAAGATGTGACTTTAGCTTTTACCTTCTGGAATTTCGTTCACACAATTACGAATTCCAGGAAGAAAAACCGTCATTACTTTGTTTGACAAAAAAAAATTCTCAACGAGACTGAGATGAAACTGAAGTCGATCCTTCCCAAGTGCTGAGGATGAATACGAGGAACTGAAAATAAAAAAAAATTGCTAGCAAATATCTGTCGTGTGTACTAGAAACTAGAATTTCGGATAATTTTAAAATGAGTTAACAGCATAAACGATTGATATGCTTTTTCAGGATATCTGCTAACTTTATTCTGTCTGAGATATCGCGTGTACGTCTGCTGTGTAAGAAAAGAGAACTAAAAATCACTAGGAAATTCAAACTCTAACTTCATTTCTTACCAGCAAGGTCGTGAGAACGTATCCTATAAGCAGGTTGTCATGATCGTTCCACTATATGTATATTCATCGCGATTTTGAATTCATCCTTCAGTTCACATTTTTAGCGCATTATCTCATTTATGGAAAAAATGCATGCACTATTGTGCTCGTCATGTCCGTCCGTCTGTCCGTCCGTCCGTCCGTGATTTTACGTTTTCGTCGACGAGAAAATGCCCTCTCTGTCACTCTCACTGCAGTGAGTACTGAGTTGTATTTTTTTAAGTAGTTACGCCTTGTATACGTAAATATCGCACATATATAGTTCAACAAGTATGTCCCTTTTAGAGAAGCTGTGCGGGTCACAACCATCTGTATTGATCACTTAATTATTGGACAATGATAAAATAATAACGACTGAGATTTTATTAATTCTATATTGACTTCTTCTTTGCTGCTACGATAAGCAAGGTTTGTGAGAATAGATATGGAGAATTCAAACTTGCATTTGAACAAATTGGCAGAGACCAATGCTTTGATTTTTTTAAGTTTTTACCACTTGAATCCGTACCACTTGAATCTTGTTTTTAACCGTATTCATAGTTAATCGCATTTAATCATCTCTGTCCATAACTTCCTCGAATTCGGCGAGCATCATGATATTTTTTAGATTTCTTGGTTCACAACTCAAATCGGTAAATTTTTTGATTGAAATTTCATTTCTTATGCTCTAAATTTCCTACGTAGTTTCTAGTTCAAACTCCCATCTGTTCACCTCTGACTGAAAGCTCTCCGATATTGCGGCTGTATTCGATCGTGATCTTCTGATAGCAACTTCATTTGTGTTCGATCTTGGCTTCAACAGCAGCGCTTGCTTAACGTCAAAGCGATACAATATCGTGGCCTTTATTTCTGTTCCACCGTCTCAAGCCACGGCGCAACCCGCAACTTCAAAGTAAAGGTTACTTTACCCGATCCTGGACCTGATAAACGAGGATCGATGTGCTCTGCTCTTCAAAAAAATAATTTCTCTTTTTATGTGAAGATACTTTCAGCTACAGCGGTTGGACTTTGGGCATTGATGATGAGCGACGTAATTTTCTTTTGTAAGTTTTGTGTTCTAAATGTACTTCTTGTACATTGCTATTTTGTTTTGGCGTTTGCCACTTCTACTTATTCAACTGGAAACAGCCGTTGTAAACTTGGATGACCGCAAGTGTTGTTCTACTGCCAACGAATTATTTTATGTTATGCAGATTGAACTATTATAGTTTTTTCAAAATATCATAATTAATTTTACTCTTCTTTTCCTTGCAGTTCAAACGGATGTTGAACAAGGAGTTGAGCCACTTCTCCGAGTCAAGTCGATCCGGCAACCAAATCTCCGAGTACATCTGCACCACTTTCCTCGGTGAGTGACGTCTTTAACGAGTAATTTACATGCACTTTGTTTCTTGCTTCACTATTGATAATTATGCAACGAGTTAGTTGTTACTGAGACCAGTATTCGTGATGCTCTTAATAGGTATCCGACTTTTCCAATGTCTTCCCGCGTAGCGCCAGAAATTGATTGACGATCATTTTTGATGGCTTATATATTGCATGTGTGGCCCAATGAGTTGCTGATGGAACTTGTGTGAAGATTTTGCGAGAGCATTACATATGAACGGCCGATACCATAGGTCTATATATCATTCTTAATTGAGGCTTGATCGCGAGAAGCTGGACAGCCTATGGCTAACTCCTTAGCTCTGAGTTGCTCTATATCTCCTGTTGCTCATTCGGCTCAGGCTGCTATATATAGCGCCCGAATGCACAAATCTTTTTATGGATAAGACGTTCAACTCGAGTCATTGATTCGAGGATACTGAATGAATTTAATGCGGTTTATTTCTTACCTAAACTAGAATTGACCAATTCATTTGCGATATCGTCTTTTTGCCGGATCTTAAAATAGCATTTGACAAATTTCTTCATCGTACCGGCAAAGGAGAAAGAAAACACTTAAGGTGCTGTATACAATGCCTAGAGAAACATTGTTATTTGTAAACAAGATTCTTTGAAAATCCACTGTTAGCCTCGTCGTTTAAAGAAGCTAACCGTTCGCTAGCATTTTTACCATGTATTTTTCTATTCATACAATGAAGCACAGACATTCTTTTCAGCTTTTAATCAACATTTTGGCCCTGAGTTACAGATTTATGACAACATAGCTAAACTTCATATTTCGACTATGCAGTTCTCGCTAACTGCACCGTAACAGATTGTCGGCTTCAATAACCGATAAATGTAGGCTTTTTAATGCTTATTATTGCTTATTTTGTACCGTAGAATAATTATTCCTTCATTACTATAGAATTATTCTGTTGTAATTATCATAAAATAATGCAATGCCCTCATGCATGAAAAAGAGAATTATTATGAATACGATTAATGAATTGGCGAACGGTAATGAAGAATTACCCTGACCTTGTTTTGCAGGGCCGTATTACAGGCTGTGTTGCAGGGTCATACTGCAGGTTGTGTTGCAGGGTCACACTGCAGGTTGTGTTGCAGGGTCATACTGCAGGTTGTGTTGCAGGGTCATACTGCAGGTTGTGTTGCAGGGTCATGCTGCAGGTTGTGTTGCAGGGTCATACTGCAGGCTGTGTTGCAGGGTCATACTGCAGGCTGTGTGGCAGAGTCATACTGCAGGCTGTGTTGCAGGGTCATACTGCAGGCTGTGTTGCAGTCATGATGCGGTTTTTTTGCAGTTTCTTTTTCACTGGCTCTGTTGCTTGCCGGTAGCTAGTTCATATTTATTTGCGTAGGATAATTCATACTTTTTTTCCGATTTGTAATGCAGACTTAATTATCGTGTAAAAATGTTAATGCTTTTTACTGCCATGTAGTGCGGATTTAATTATCGTGTGAAAATATAGTCTTCAAAAGATTTGCGATTATCCCCTACGAAATTAAGTGATCCAAGATTGTTGGTTTGCCGCTGTCGCTACGACGAGCGCCAGTGCGATTTTTTTACGCACTAACGCACGTATCGCTGACGCATGTTTGAGCAGGTGCCGTTCACTAGGCGGTCGCTCTTGATTAATTAAGAAGCTGCTATCTGCCCGAACATTGCCAGAATCTCTCCTCAAATCTTTGGCTGGTTGTCAAGAATTTGTGTGTAGCTTGGCTTCAATATCTTTTATAAAAACTATCTGCTCCAAGTTGTTACACTGATGCTTATGATACGGAATCATGAATGTGTCACAATTTCGAACCTTCTTCGCTAATTCATTTGTCAATGCTGGTATGCGATCTCTGTTTCACAATTTAAACCGTTATTCCAATATGTCGGTGGTCATAGGCTCGGAATGTAACCACTTGGCCTTCTTCCAACTTCAGTTTGGATCACGTGATATGAAAATAGTGTTCATTATTTACTGTTATTTTCTCATCACGATTGTATTGAAACGCAATTTATGTATCGTTCGATGGCGCAGGTCAACGAATAGCCTGATGCTAATTGCAATCACTTGTATGCGTAGTTCACTATTATTCCGCATTGGATGGAATTATATGAAACAATTTTTCTCTTACTTAATTATTAAATATAATCAGAAATTGTGTTTTGAAGTAATAATATAATTATGATTTATATATTAAATTAGTTGTCACCTCGTTATTAGCGCATTTTCTCATTTATGTGAAAAAAGGCGCTATTGTGCTCGTTATGTCCGTCCGTCCGTGACTTCACATTTTCGTCGACGAGAAAATGCTCTCTCTGTCACTAACTACAGTGAGTGCTGAGTTATATATATTTTATATATTTTTTTATTTTGTATGTTCCAGACCAGCATCAAGAACTCGATATCCCCAGTTTGCAACAGCACGACAAAGAAGATACTCCTGCCATTGAAGGTCAGCAACCGCTGCCACTACAGCAACAACAGCCACAAACTCAGACACAACAAAGTGGTCATAGGTCTTCTTCTCGTAAGAAATGTGAGTCGAAAATTTGACCGAATACCTTTGTATTGTATTTCATTTTCATTTGGCTACTTTTTATTCATCTTCCAGCTTTTTCTGCCTTTTCCATCATTTGGTTCCCATGAACCTGCGCTGTAGATCACTTATTTGCGTCTGAGTTCGTTAGGCCTCTCTGTCTTATTTGCTTCTCAAACTTTGTTTCTATTGGTCGTCTATTCTTCCACTTCAAGGTATGTGCAACCTTTTATTTAATAAATTAAGTACTACAAATTGTTCCCATAACCTTAATTTCTCTTTTAGCTATTAGGAAGTAAAAAATCGTGCAAATTCAGTGGGAACCCTAAGCAGCATGTTGAGTTTCATTTGTGTAAGAAGGGATTAACATGTGACTTTGATATCAGTCGTTTTTTTTTTACTTGCAATAGATTTAACAAAAATTTAAAACGTAAATTTAAATTCACCAAAGCTTCGGTTAAAAAAATTCCCTGAATAATTTTTACATGCATAGTTTTATATAAGTAGAATAAGAACTCGCTGAATTGGCGTCATAGAATACATGCTAATTTCTTGTTCAGTTTCTTCATCAAGTCACGGAGCACAATCTCTTGGTCATCCTTCATTGCCGGCCTCAGAGCGGTTCCCTGCCCCAAGTTCCTCAGCTCACGATGGCTCTTCTTCAGCGGCCACGTGGCAATCCAAAGAATCCTGCAGCCAAAGCAGTGGCGCTCAGTCGACCAAACACTGCTCGACTTCTCAGCGCCAAACTTCCATTATATCCGCCAGCGGCGAGTCAACTCCTGCAGACTCAGTGCAGTCGTCCTGTACAGTCACAGAGACTGGCGGAGATGCTGCATTTACAGGCGTGTCCGGCAAGGAGGTGGCCTCTGTGGCATCTTCCATGTCTCGGATCATCGGGGTGAAGTCACCGCAACAAACTGTCTCGTTCGAGAGCATCCCGAGATTTGGTGTCGAGACGCCAAACGAAGCCGAGTTAGCCAAGGTGAGTGTCTTTCTTCCAGGCCAGTAAATATTTTACGCTATTTCTTTACTTACTCTATAAGGAAGCCATTCGAGACGCATACGGCGCAGTGAAATATTTCAGAATAAAAATTGAAAGTGGCGTCGTCACTCGCGTGTTTAGTTCATTTCGGGCGTAATTTAAGTTATTTACACTGTGTACTCTTCGGTTTCTTTTACTACGCATTGTACGTGACCTTTGCTCGTACCCGTTTCCTAAGACTCAACTTGTTTCTCTACCTGTCAATCATAATTGCGCAGTTTTTACAGCATATACAAGTAGCTATAAAAGCAAGAGGCTTTTAGGTCTAGTTTATGTTGGCAAGTCAACTTACTTACGAATAATAATTTGCTCAGACTCTAATCACTGTCAAATGTTTAGGCAGTCACCGAACTGACGTTGCTGTTGATTCCCGTCAAGCTGAAATCATATTCTTGTTCTAAGTTTTGTAGTAACGTGATGCAAACACGAGATATCTACCTCATTTAGTTACTCTACTAGTATTATTCTGTTTCTGCAGTTGTTTTATGTAATAATGTAGCCTATATTATCTATGACACGCGCTCACATTTTTGCCTCGCCGGCAGCGCGAACTGTATTAATGTTACACAAAATTGAAAGTTATCGATGATTTAGTCCCTATTAGATTTTTACTTCACTTCAATAAAAAATTTATGCTATTTCATGCTCTGCTATAACTTTCGTACATGAATATCAATCCTTTCAAATTGTCGCGTTGTCAGTGCGGAAGATATATTGTCCCCACGTTGCGTTTGTTGTCAACATTCAGTATTAATTCGGTGTTTGTCTCACTTTGCATGGCGATCATCAAAAGAATATACGACTCCACGCCTTTGATCGTAAAGGAAGCAGCTGACCAATTCCTTTCATATAATTAATTTATCTTGTTCTGACTAACTCCTGTCAATGTTTCCCCTTCGTTACTCGTTTTTAATAATTCATTTTAAATTTACAACACTGGTTAGTTTTCACTAAGAGCATTCTTACTTTACTAATGACTTTTTACTCATTGAAAAAAGGTGTTAGTTTGATCGAACTTGAATTCATATAGATGAAGTTATACTACAAATAATGATTTGACGAGTTCAACATATATGAGCTCGATGGATCAATTTTTGTTTCCTGACGCATTGAGAACTTTCGCTTTACAAACCTCATGTTTGCACGTCCATAAAATACATAAGCAATATAGCTCAAGGGCTCACGTCTGCCTATATCCATCGTACTTAGATGTATTAAATTGCAACCATCTCCAATGTGAGAATGTTGAGTTCACCGTGCAGAGTAGTTCTGGAACATAATACAGTTATTAGCATTTTTAATCTCTAATAATTTCGAACCCATTATTTCCAGTCAGTATTTATTTCCTTCATTTTCACGGCAAAATATCATGAAATTTAATCAATGAAATTTTGCTTGTACTTTAAATAATAAGTAAGCTAATCAATTAATCCCCTACCGCCGTATGTCACTCTCCGAGAACATAACTTTCAACTTAAATTATTGGTAAACTATTGAGTGTAGCAACCTGAGGACGTTTGTACGCAACAGAGAACATTTTAAAGTTGTCGTACGTGGCGGCAACCATCAGTGCAAGTCATTTTGCGCTCACTAGAACGTATCCTTTATGGGAAGTAGGCTTGTGACACGATTGCTCCGGTTACTCATGTCAGGAGGTTAAAAGGGTTAAGTCGTGATGCCCATATTCAAACGGAAATAACGGGATGTTCTTCGCTGCCCCCGCACTCTCTTAATGCCGTCACAGACTGTATAGCCTGAACAGTGCGCTGCACAGCGCACAGCAGAAAACATCTATCACGTTTTTAGCGTGATTATTGCTCGGTGTATGACAGGCACCGTATAGTCATAATTATAGATGGACTAGTCTAATAATAACTGTTCGAGGGCTTAACCCATGTCTCCGTCCTTGATATTCCCTTGGCAAATGCCTTAAGCGCGCGCTGAGAAGCTATGTATTCTGGTGCTCTTAGTGATGAGTAGAGTCTTAACGCATTCATGAGTAACAGTAGTAACATGAGTAACGTACAATCTTAACGCATTCCTGAGTAACAGTAGTAACATGAGTATAACGTACAGTCTTCAGGCATTCATGAGTAACAGTAGTAACATGAGTAACGTACAGTCTTGACGCATTCCTGAGTAACAGTAGTAACATAAGTAACGTACAGTCTTAACGCATTCATGAGTAACAGTAGTAACATGAGTAACGTGCAGTCTTAACGCATTCATGAGTAACAAGAGTAACTTTTTGACAGGTGCAGTTTTCCTACATAGCACAAACCATATTAATTGTCTAATAATTGTTTAAATAAAATGATTATTAAGTGTCAAATTAATTGTCATGTTTTTTGTACAAGTTATTAAATTGTACTTGATTTCGTTTGTATCGTTGAGTCGCTCAAGCTGTTATAATTAGTAAGAATCGCTCTATAGCCATGCAGGCCGCTTTCATACAGGTGTACGAGGCAGCTGTTCGCAGCTGGTTCTCTCGTTGCTTTAGAGTAGACTTGCAGCTGTTACCTACACCTGTCACACGCTGTGTGAGCATTACTTCTGGTGCTGGTAGTGCTAACATTGCAGTTGTTCTAAGTTTGTAACGTAGCACATGCTAAATACAGCAATGGGTTCCCTCGGTTTTAAAATTGTTGTAAAATTAGGTAACGTCTGAAAGACTTACCGTATCGGAATGTTTATATTTACCTTCTTGGAAAATAAAAAATAAACTACATCCTTATCTCAAGCCACAAAAATGATCAAATTAACATCTGATTCTTCACAACAATTACCGACACTCTTGAGATGCCGTAGACATACAGACAGGCGTTAAAACGAGATTAATTAATTAATTGATTAAGCCGTACGGTGATAGGTGCGGCGATAACTTATCGCAATTCTTCAGTTCGCATGCATAAAACTCAAGTTATGACAGCGTCGGTGCCGCTGTCCAGTGTCTTATCTTTCTTGCGAATGTGTTAGCTTGTTAACATAAAATTTAACCTGTTAACTGCACGTCAGCGACAAGTATTTATCCTGTTAACTGCGCGTCAGCGACAAGTATTAAACCATTTAAAATATATAAAAACAAAACATTCGTCATAATATTGTTAGCTTCTCAACTCTGTGTGCACGACAGGTGTTTCAAGACCTCGACAAATGTTGTCAAAATCGTCACTCGCATTTCAGTTTCTGTAATTAATTGCTTGATCCGTTGTTAAATGCGAGTCCATTTTATGCTAATATGCACTTGTATGGGAGACTAATGTTTCCTCGGAAGTTCTCCCCCAAGCTTCATAATCACTGCTGACATTACCGTGCAGGTCCTGGAAGACATCGACAAGTGGGGCATTGATATTTTCCGAATCGCTGAGCTATCCGAGATTCAGCCGCTCACCGCTATCACCTACACTATTTTTGTTGTAAGTTTGTGTAAGATTGAGCTTCATGCATTGAATTAATAAGAAATCGGAATATGTATTTTTATAATATTATCTCGATTAATAAAGGCACAGTTCAATAAGAGATTAATTTTTATGCTCATTATCTATACAAAACGTATATTTAGAGATTTTTTTAACAATCAGCGGTTGATGGTTATTTAAAAATGATTTATAAACTTATCCTTCCTAAAATTTTCTATTGCCAGTTAATTTAAATTGATCTAATTGTTTGGATCGTTTTTTTTTCAAATAATCGAATTCAGTTTGCATTATTAGGGGATATTCTTGCAAATTCGATGTTTTTTATTGAATTTAAACTGTAATTATCTCTTAATGTAATGCTTGTCTCATTTGCTTCGTGAAATTGGAATAATCAATTCCATAAATAATTTTTCTTGATTACTTGTGTCTTTTCATTTTAATCGTGAATTTTTATTTTCCGTTTTCGGTGAAGGTGAATTTAATTCAAAAAATATACTTCGCTAATTTATTTGTCCTCTACAGGAACGAGATTTGATAAAGCAGTTCAAGATCCCGCCTAATACTTTACTAACGTTCCTACGCACGCTGGAAGTGCACTACCTCAGTCACGTTCCCTACCACAATGCATACCATGCAGCCGACGTCACGCAATCCACACATGTCCTACTCAATTCCCCTGCATTAGAAGTGAGTATAATACACGTAAATGGATTAACTGCAAATAATAATAATAATTGTATTAATAATAATTAACTGCAAATAATAAATGCGCAGCATTTAACCTCCTATGTAAATCAACCGATGTTGCTGTTTTCGATTGTACATGCAGTCTCATAATTGTTTGAATATAATAAATAATTTCGAGATTTTCATAGGATTGACATTTTTTGGTTCATTTGAATTTCGGCGTGAGCAAAAGTAAATTGTGCCAGCACTTAACAACATGTTTAAAAATGACTTTTCATCTCAAAGCCAAAACAATTTTTATTTATTTATTTTGCCCTATTTTAAAGTTCACTTCCACACATCTATGTATAAACGAGAATCAAAACTCATTGCAATGCAACAAGCACTTCAATATACTCACTGGGTGCTTGCCTCATTCCAATAACTATTAATGATAATTATAACGATAATCAAATCAATATTGATGATGATTATATAATTATAACAATAACTATTTACTTTACATTATTCCCCAGTCCGTGTTCACGCCTCTGGAAGTACTAGCAGCAATATTTGCTGCCGCAATACACGACGTCGACCACCCTGGTCTAACCAACCAATACCTCATCAACTCCTCCTCTGAGCTCGCACTCATGTACAACGACGAGAGCGTTCTTGAGAACCACCATCTCGCCGTAGCATTCAAGCTCCTACAAAACCAAAATTGTGACATCTTTGTCAATTTGAGCAAGAAGCAAAGGCAAACTTTAAGGAAGATGGTCATAGATATGGTCCTGGCTACTGACATGAGCAAACACATGAGCTTGTTGGCCGACTTGAAGACCATGGTGGAAACGAAGAAAGTTGCCGGCTCGGGGGTCCTTTTACTCGACAATTACACTGACCGAATACAGGCAAGTACAATATACAAGGTTTTAATACATAATATATATTATTATGTTTATTGTAAAACCTGGTTAATATACCAGGTTTTACAATATACTAGGTTACATATACTCTTATTTTGTTATGTGTCCTGAAATTATTCGAAGTTTAAATCTTCTTTTTTAATTAATCGTAAGTGTCTACCCAAGTCCTTGAAGTACCTCTTAGATTAATTCTAAAAATGTTAACGTGAATTTTAACATCGATTTCATATCTTAATGCCCAGTGTTCTTTTTATTCACCACCAGTATTAAGTAAACGTGTAAATTTCAATGATGAATATGGGCTTAATAATAGGTACATTCCCTTATATTGTTTCCCGGATGTTATTCAACGAAACACGATAAAGTTTATGGTATATTTCGTGTACAATATTCACGTAGCCAACTCCCGACGTTTTAACGATGCCCTCTGACGTCAACGATGAGTCGTATTCTTAAAATACATGCAAGTTACCAGCTTATAATAAAACGGGACTCAGTTGGGGGAACTGAGGGTGAAGGAGGTGTGAAGGAAACGCTTCAAACTTGTTTGCTATGCACCGAGAGTAGCTTTGGCGTATACCTTGCTTATGAGGGAGCTTTGTTCTGGTGCTGCCTTTGCTGCTGTTGCTCTGGTGAGGCTGCCTCTGCTGCTGTTGCTCTTGTGAGGCTGCCTCTGCTGCTGTTGCTCTTGTGAGGCTGCCTCTGCTGCTGTTGTTGCTCATGTGAGGCAGCATTTTGATGCACTAGTGCATCAACAGCATCACATGCTGCCCGTTGATGCTGTTGATGCACTAGCGATATTCTCTTCTTTTTCTCCTATGTACAACCCTGACACTCTGCACCATTGAAACCATCTGTTAGTTGTATTTACCCGCTGTCATTATTTACTTATAATCACTTGCAGCTTACTGCTGTCATCAGAACCCGTCAGCTCCGTTGATTAGGCTCCTATTATTGTTATTTGTTTTTCACTCTTTACTCGTAATTGAAGCAAAAATTGTGTCTGTTGTTAGTGCTATTCCTACGAAGTTTGCTGTACTCTTCATATAATATGAACAATAATATGGGAAAATCATTAACTTGAGTGTAACCAATATTTTAAGAAGCGCGTAGGGAAGCGTGCCATAAAGTACTCATTAAATAATGAATAAAAAGCGTTGTTTACTTAATAAAAAAATAAAGAAGAGGCGTTGAGTTGGGGTATCTGATGCTACTCGTGAGTCACACCGTGCATGAAGGTCGCTGCGGCGATCGCTGCTCTCGTGAGGGCGTCTCTATCAGTACAGGAATGCTATGTTAAATTTAAATACTAAAAAAAATACAGGCCTCATTGCAACACTAACTATTAAAATGTAACGTATTGTCACTGTTACTCATGGTATAACCAGTTTATTAAATACATTAACTAAAGTTTTCGATATCTATTTACATTTATTGGCTGAATAACTTAGCGTGGGAGACGACAAACACTCAAGGCAGTGCGCATGAGAAGAATGCGGCTACGCAGTCGCGTGACTAAGCAACTGACTCCTTGACATGACTACGAAGAACGTTAAATATGTACATTTACTTAAGTTATTCTCTGAACTCCTCGAAGAATTCCTCTTTTCGAGCTCTAGATCAGTTTTATTTTAAAGCAACAGAACAAGCTTCACAAATACCGGTTCAATTTTTGCATCAGCTTGTATTGTGTGGTTTAGCTAAATGGCCGCGTGGTTTGCCTGCGCTTCTGATAATAAGCTATTCATGCTGCAAGTAACGAATTAGCATCAGAAAAGGTTTGGAATGTCTCAGTTATAATAAATTAAAATGTTATTAAGCCTTTCTAGGTTGATTGTACATACTTTTTATGTGAGCATTTCAAATCCATTCCCTTATTAAATAACTTTTAAATCCACAATTGGCTAAAAATGACTAAATTTTAAGGTAAGAGCGTTGCCGTGCTGACTTGCGGAACTGATTCAAGTTAGAACCCATTGACAATTTACAGACGCGTCAGCTTCTGATTTGAAGTACCAGAAGCTGGGGCGACTCTAAATTTTGTTAGGGAATGGACTCAATTCACTGGCTAACAATTATTTTATTCGCAGGTGCTGCAAAACATGGTTCATTGCGCTGACTTGAGTAACCCGACGAAGCCTCTGGACTTGTACAAGCGGTGGGTGGCTTCTATCATGGAGGAGTTCTTCAAGCAGGGCGACAAGGAGCGTGAGAACGGCTTCGACATTTCCCCCATGTGTGACCGACATTCTGCAACAATAGAAAAGTCCCAGGTACTTGTATACTTCCAATATTAATTGACTCTTTTTAAGGGGATACCTTCATAAACACTTGGATGCATGCCGTATGGTATGCATCAACTGAGTAGCCACTGAGTAGACTGTTGGACGCATCACGTCACGCGGTGCTCAAACTCTTGTGAACTTTCAGTGATCAGTGATGCGAATTGATCATTCAGAATTACATGTTTATTTTTTAATCATTTATTTAAGAAGTTCTAGCGATTTATAAAGTTTTTGTATAATGCCAAACTACGAAAAGGCGACCGAATGCAATTTAGGAATTAAACACAGCAATTTTCAATCAAGAAAGACCTTGTCCTGGTGTTTTTTTTTCATTTTTTCTTGATTAGGTTATTTTTTATGTAATTCTATTTACTTGAGTTATGCACGTGTTATTACTCCCGATTTGTTAAATTTCTTTTTTTCTTCGTTTTGGTTTTTATCGTTACTTGTGCTTCTCCAAAAATTTTGCTCTCCGCAAACTTTGCTCCTTGATCGTTTTGAAGTTTTCACGCAATACTTTGATTTTCATAATACAATTCTTCTTTTCCAGGTTGGTTTCATAGACTACATCGCACATCCCCTCTGGGAGACTTGGGCTGATCTAGTTCACCCAGATGCACAGGATATCCTGGACACTTTGGAAGAGAACAGAGACTGGTACCAACAAATGATACCCATCAGTCCTTCCTCGTCTTCCAATGACCTGCAGGAAGAAGATCAGCCGGGCACCACATCGGAAGATCCCGAAGAAACGGAAGACGATGGACAACTTTGCGCCGCCGCTGAAAGAATTCAAATACACTTCACGCACGACGAAGAAACTGAAGGAAGTGGTGGTGAAACAAGTGGTCTAGGTGGCTCCAGTGGATATAGCGGAGCTGGAGTTACGAGTGGGGAGAATCCTTTTACTTCTACTGGAGAGGATAAAGAATTCGAAGAGCCTCCCGAGCCGCAAACGAAGGATGAAGACAGTGGGATCTGACCTACCCCGGCCTTCGCGTTAACAGGGTACTGTAATCGGGTCCGTAAAAGGCTGCTGAGGTGGTTTCACGCTAGCAGCTCTGAGTGTGCTAATTCTAGTGCTAGATCTACAGGTTATTCTATTGAACAACCGAATATTGTTAGTGGTAGTGTGGTGTCCAAGACTAGTAGATGTAAGACTTTTAAAACTGATGACCTTAGTTCGTGTGTTCTTGAGAGGGCTCATGATAAAATCGTGGATCCTGATAGTAGTGGAGGCAGACTGTCGGACAGCCGGGCGTTAACGATGGATAATAAAAGTGATGGCAGGTTTTTAGCTTCTGACGACAAAAAGGCTTCTGATGACTTTTGTGAATCTTTTGACGACGGTAATGAAAATATAATGATTTTTAAAAATAGACACCTCGATAACCTTGAAAACTCAGGCCTACTCTTTAATGCCAACGGCAACAATAATCAGTAATCTAATTTTTCGTAAAAATTAACTTCCTGACAGTGTAACTAAATTTTTACAATCTTGTGCGTGATTTTTTATCTGTGTTTAGTATCGCTGAAACTGAAGTTCTTAGAATGCGACTTGAGCGTAATTTTAATAATTTAAAACCCGGATACAGGGTAAAGGCTTCCTTTTGAGAGCTCTCTGTTTTTCATTCTGTAGTTTCGCAAAGCAAAATCTATATTCTGAAGTTGACCTACGTAAAACTTGTGCATGCCGCAGAGTTTATATGAACTTAAAGTATTTAAATGAAGACAGTCAAACACCGTATACCAGCAACAAAATTAATATAAAATTTTGCATCATATGTGTTGCGTCATTCAATATTCGTTGAATTCGTTATCGTTTCGCTGTTGTGTGGAAAATTACGCGAACCTGATGTATCAGCAAAATTTTAAAACAACCTGCGTCACGGTTAGATTCCGATATGTTCGAGGTCCTCATACTGAGTTCTTCATGCCTGTTTTCCAATCAAGCTACTATTTTTTGAACGATGTTTTTACGCAAGTTTTGCTTATTTTTCATTAACGAAGACTTATCCCGCAAATTTAGAATTGAAATTTATTTATATTGGAATTTCTGATAGGTTTTTAACATGCTTGAACTTGAATCGTAATTCGTCACATTTTTTTCTGTCTGTAGACTTCAGACGCGTTTTCTTTTCTAGTAATTCTAATGATTTTAGAACAGCTTTCGGCCGTGTGCTTTATTATTTTATCATTTACTCGTAAAGTATCCAAAAAAGAATTAAAAGCTGTAATGAGACTCCAGTGAACATGTAACATCGTCCCGAGTAATCTTATTGTATTTGAGACTTGCTGTTGTTAGAAGTGTTATAATAAAAGTCAATGTTGCTTCGTCTGTATCGAAGTAAATGTATTTGAAATACGGTATTACCAAGAATACTGTATTGCTACGACTGCTCCTCCATGTGATTAATGTCTTCAACTCAGTTACCCAGTATACTAGTTACTTAGAGAGTACCAGAGGAATTTTCTGCTTTGTTTGTTATTTTGGTTGCCTTGTGTGTGATGAGCTTGCAGCGCAATTTGTAAGCACTTTGAGCCGGCTTTCATAACTTGCAGTTTCTTCCTTTCCTCGTGGCTTTAGCTAATAATTACCTGTTTTTTTCTGAAACCGTCGTAACGTTCTTAAACTTTTATGTTTATCACCGTGGCCACTTGAATACTGTGTAGTTGGTGTCTAAGTCATTTCCGGCATGACTGTGGACTGTCGGAGAAATGCACCAGTTAGTGCAGTTGTTGTCAACGTGCTGCCAAGAAGGGAAATGTACTCGAGAAAACAACGTAACAAGCAAAAGTACATGCGGAAATTATACTAGAGAATTATCGAGCCACGGCTTTTGAACTTTTTTTACCCTCGATGAAGTTCATCAGTGATTTATTGTGTATCTGACAGTGCTTATGATAGCTTATTGTTGTGTCGGTACGACGAACGTGTTGTGTAAGCTGAATAAGATCACGCCTTTGATGATCCAGGTGACGATAGTCACGTTCACGACACGTTTGTGCTGGTGACTTAATTTCGACGCATTAATTTTACGCATTCGATTTTTCGAATGTTCATGTTGTATTTGACTCTATTTACTGAGTTTTTGACTTTGTACTACAAATGAACTGGAAGAAATAGACCGTCTTCGTATCATGTACATATATTATGGAGATTTGAGGAGTAAAATGTCGATGAAGTTTTCTTGATATAATATCGTGATTTACAGTCTGTACTTGATGTAGCCAAGGATATTTATATTAAACCAAATTTATGGTTACGTCATCTACGTTCATACCGTAATGATAATAACAATTGTTCTCGTTCTTTTTATCAGTATAGAGCGATGAAGAATGTGCTTGTATATATTAGATGCTGTAAATAAGATATTATGTTAAATTAATAGGAGATGAAAGGATTCATTGTATAAAATGAGTATTCTAAAATGTGTACACGATATATTAAAGCTATCTGTTCTATATTACAGCGATATATCCCTTAATTAGATGACAAAGTTAAGAAGCAGGTAGATGTCGCATAAGCTTAGTTGGAAGCTGCCGTTCGATCTTATTGCGTGGCCTGGTGAGCTTGAATCTGCCTGTACGTGGACATTTACGTTAATAAACATAAACTCTTTAGCCTTTGTGATACGTGACTTGCAATCTAACAGATCTTATGCCTCAGGATTTATCATCATTCGTAGCGAAGCTGGAAAGGAATTAGAATTCCGATTTGTTTGTAAAACAAATATCTATATTCGGAAGTCTGCAAGTCCTCCCAGTTTGCTGCACCAATGCCATCAGTACATCACCCTTTTGTTGATTTATCGAAAATTTTTTGTTTTTACATGTAATTTATTTATTTATACTTGAATTGTAAGTTGGTCCCTGCATAACAACCTTTGCGACGATACAAACTGTGTAGTTGAATCGCTATATACCTTTCGATGTCTTTCTTCGAAAAATCAGAATGCCATGGCTCGAATGTATTTACTATCGTAAGCTTCTTTCCATGCAGCTACATGGTCGATATTGATACATCTTGTATTGCAGTTCAAGATTTTGATTCTGCGCGAGACGAGTCATTGTAAAGTTAGTACCGTCGTCGGACACTTGTAAAGCGCTAGTTGAAATTACCTAATACTTTTCATCTGCATGGAAATAATATATTTTTGATTTAAATAAGGCACAAGAATTTATACTAAATAATTTAAGGTAACTTCTTTGAAGAATTGTGCGCTGGCTGCATTTTCATTTTGATTAGAATGCTGACAGTGTGAGAGGCATTGGAAAAACTCTCTATGATCGACACTTCTTATCGAGTGTGAAGAAGCTTATACTATAAATTAGCTAATATTTAACTGTTATTTATTTTACATGAAAACAGAGCAGGATAGCTACCACCCCCTAGTAATTCTGTCGCTTCTTATAAGTTGTTAAAGCATTTAATACGATCTTTATTCTTATTTATGAATGACCGCTCCTATCGACGTTACTACGTTTAGTCAGACGGAACTTATTTAAATTTAATGCTTGGAGGAATGCAAGTCGCCGTATCTTATGTATATATATTTACGTTAAAGATCGTTTGTGTCAAATGCATAATTAATGTTTTTTTTTTATCCACGAAGAGTGTCTTCCTGCTTGATTCATTGCATGAATAAATAGTGAGATTTCACTAGTTCATTCATTATCTGCAAAGTATGTAAGTATATGATTTTTTAAATTGTCAAATGAAAATATAGGTTAGCGATTTCGCTGGGAAATCTAAAATTGAAAGAATTTCGATAAAATATTTACTTCACCTTAGTCAAAAAGTTTAACTAGGTTTCAATTCTAACTTAGTGTTTTTTTAATTGAAAAATAGTTATTGTAATTTAGTTAGGATCTCTTGCACTGGTCTTCGTATTTATCTCTTCAAAATTTATCAGTGAATTTTGTTTTCGTCTTGCATAAAACTTAATGTTTCACCAAAGCTCAATTGTACCTTTGCTGCTTTTGTTCCCTTGCACCAAACGCTGCTCTGAACATTCATGTTTTATTAACTTCGTTTATTTCTGCCCACCAGGCGTTTAATTATGCAGTTGACTTATTGAACAAAAATATTGTTGTACGATTTTTATTGGTAAAAATTGATGTTCGTAAGAAAAAAATGTTTAAAAAACTGTCCAGGTTTTCCGTCCTGTCTTGTCGTGCTTGAAGGTTGACTTAAATTTTTGTTTGAAATGAAATTTCCTTTATATTGCGGTTTACGGGCAGGAAATTGTGTAGGAATAATTCGAGGGAATTTCAAATGAAATCCTTATTTGTACTAACAGTATAATGTCAGCGTAGAGTTATTTCTTGCTATTGTCCTGATTTCTACCTCATTACTTGTCCGGTGATTTACCACGAACAACATTTACCCTATAAATTTTGTTTTTATTCGTATTTGAATTAAAACACTTTGTTTTTAAAAGGTCACGGAACGATTGGAAAATCGTCAAATCTTCAAGTTGTTTGAGTGTTCATCAAGATTGACGGAGCATGTTTTAATTTCGTTAATTTAATCTCGCTCAACTACACCAGGTTATGGAGAAAGGAAATTTATTCTAACTTTTGATTCTTGTAATGCCTAAGCCAAATGTTATTAGTTACTAATTTGTTTCCTATATGTGTATTACACCATACTGATGACTTTCCTCATTTTCATTTTAACGTATTTAATTTTCTGCTTATTTTGCTAAAAGATTGAAATTCTTCAATTTTGTTCTCGTTTCTTCAGTTTTGTGCTCAATGTTATTTCAGTGATAAAGTTTCGTATTTCTCTTGATTCAAGATTCGGTCACCACATCGTACCTGTCTTAAGTATTTTCAAAATGAATTAAGTTTCTCCTCTTTGTTATTCACGAACGTTTTTTGCCTAATATGTTACTTGCTGAGTGTTTATTATTTTTTTGCATTTACGTGAATCCCGGAGTTCAAATCTTGAATGTATCTACGATTTCGTCGAGATTGATTGTTGTGTTATGCTTTACGTTTGATTTGCTTACGACCGAACTACGATTTCCTCCATTGATGCTTGAATTTTAATCCGTTGGCCAGCGAGAAAGTTTCGCAAGCTTCTATCTTTATTATTTTTGTTGAATATCAAGTGCAAATTAACTTGATTCTAAATCAATTTGATATCAATTATGCAAATGTTGCTGACCTTTGAATTTAATCATGATGTCAACAACTTAAATCTCCTTGCAATTACAAATAATGACTTGAAGTGAATACTTCTTTAAATAATTGAAAAAGTTAATTGCAGGTCGCGTAAGTCGACTGCGATACAAGAAATTAGAAAAAAAGTGAAGTGGGCCTCGAAACATGAACGGAGTATGCAAAGTAAATCTCGTCTAGGAATCTTACCTTTCGAGAGATTTAAAGAAACTTTTAGTTTTTTCATCCTGTAGGTGTTTAAAAATTGACATAATAAAAATATGTAAATACGTTTTATTTTTGCGCAAAGATCACTGCTGGTTCGGTGTTTTACTTTATTATACGCTTATGTTATAAATTTAAGGTTGTTATGTTGTGATTTTTTTTATTTGTTGTGTCTTCCCGTTACATTTATCTTGGTTCAAATTACCTAGCGCTTCTTGCTAACACTTGTGATTAATTGTGAACATAGGCCTCTGTGGATCGTAGGCCTACAGACGTGGTGGATGAATGGTACATTAAAAGGTAGCACGGTGCGCTAAGGCTTTCAATAAAGGCCACCACATCCCTGGCCTTCTCAATTTTATGTTCGCATTATGCTTAAATTATTCGTGTGTTTATTGTATCAGGAATTTTCTTCAATCTATAGAGTTAGCAAGTGTTTGAATTTTACGTTAAGTTTACAAAATAGTTTATTGAAATTTTCACTAATACGTACGTGTCAGTCTTCTGCGTATGATACAGAAAGAAAAGGAATAAATGAATTCAAATACATAACGCTTGTTTTGAAAATTTATCCATCATTATCACGATACATTCACAATATGCATGGAACAGTGGGAAGATTTCATTTCAAATATCAGAAATCAATTAACCTCGTATCAATTAATGAATTCCGGTATTTCAGCAGATACTTTGCATTCACCCGAGAATTTACCCACCTGCTGTAAGCTCTCGAGTTACAATTTCAATTTTGTAATAGCAAGATTACTTCGCTCGAGCACGAGACCATCACAAAATCGTTGAAAATCCGCCAAATGGAATATAACCGAACAGCAAAGTTCTAGAAAATTCGAGAATATTCTAGAACATTCTGGAATGTTCTAGAAATTCTCCCCTCGATCACATGAACGTTTCCTCTATCAATCAAGCGAATAAGGCATCACGCACCTTTGGTCAGCACACGTTGCGCTATTTTTTAAATTTGGTAGCTAATAAAATATAAATAAATAAATGGTTTCCAACAGACTTCATATACGATACGAATCTCCAACCAGCCAGTTATGCCCCTTTCTCATGTTTTAAATTCAATCTCCTCAAACTCAAAAGAAGGTTCACATATTTGAAGCACACAAATTCAATCTAGAATGAATTAATTTCCTCCCCTTCTTAACGAAAACTCACAAGTATCTCGCACTGAACCGAGAATCAAATTATCATCTGCCAAATAAAACGCAGTATTCATTTAGGCCTCCCGGAATGTACTGTTGTTGTTGTTGTTGTTGTTTAGTGGCCAAATGTTTACTAGCGCTTCAGCTATTTAGCTATCTCGCACCGAAAGTCAAGATGAACATCACCATAAAGGTGGAAGGTCTCAATTATTCATCACCCACAAGGGGCGGAAGGTCTCAGATGTCCAGCCCGCTGAAGCTGGCTCGAGAGAAGCAGCGTTAGCATCTCAAAGAGACGAAGGGACAGGTGACAAGGAGGGACAGGTGACAAGGAGGGACAGGTGAAAAGGAGGGACAGGTGACAAGGAGGGACAGGTGACAAGGAGGGATAGGTGACAAGCGTCAGAAACGAAGACACTCGAACAAGAAGTCGCTTACACGGGACGTCGGCCGCCCGCACGAGAGAGGCAGAGAAGGGAATGTAAGGAATCCTACCTACATAATAACTTAACCCCACAACTGAGACCTGCAGTCAGACACCGCGAGCTCAACGGTGGGGCGCTCAGGAACAATCCCCCTAGGAGCGCGAAATCCCATAGGACTTCTGACGCGCACAGACACTCGTCAGAAGTCCCCCCTGAGGGGACCCGGAATGTATTGCTTATATCTCTCGTTATACCTGCGAAGAAATAACCCTTCTAAAATGAGGTTAGGTTGTAGTGCTTTATTAGTGTTTCGGTACAAAAGACCGTCTCGCATCCAATACTAATCGTGCATAGTAGCACTGCAGAGTAAAACTTACTCAATCAGAATTCTTCATTAACCCACAATAGTGAGAGCCTTCCAAGTTCAAGCTGGCGATAAGGAAGGCCAGTAGGCGTCGGGTGAAGGTCGTGGGTGAAGAGACCGTGGAGACCGACCAAAAACGTGGGTGAAAAGACCGACCTCGAATTTTCAAGAAGAAATCCCCACAGAACTGCTGTTGACGAGCGAAAGCAGTCGTTTGGATTAGTACAGAACTCAAACTGTCTCGCCAGGAGGGTAAAATGTGGACAAACCAAAGATTGTGAAAATTAAAGTACACAATAGCGGCGTTGTTGCAGAAACGCTTCAACAACGCATGGAAAAATAATAATTTAATTTAAAATGATCCAAAAGAGATCGTTTAATATTTCAAGGACGGCAAAAAGAATAACCGACACGCGGTAAAATACTGCAAGGAAGGACGCTTAGTTCCATCAATCTGTACGGTTCTCTGAATAATATATTCATGATGAAATTCATCGTCTTCGCGCGCAAGTTGAAGCAAAGCGTAATGCCTTTCAACGATTATCAAGCATAACAGACTGAAGAATGGTCTTGAAATCTAATCGTTTAAAAAATATTAATCAAATTGAAGTAGTTCTTTCTTATACGAGAAATCAAGTGAAACGCCTTTGATTGCTTACGATTTTCAGAAGCTAAAATTAGTCATGTGGTATAGAAGAAAATGATGAAATTTTCAAAGAGCAAAAATTCGATTATGTGACTGATGTGTAACTACACACTAGATATTTATCCCTTGGCTTCTTTGAGAGAAACCAATTTTGCTCATTAGATGAGAGCCGTAAGTCCAAGGAGTCGCTAGGATCTTTGTGGTTCGTTAATTGAACTGCAAGCAACCGCGCATACACTTAAAAATATTTTAGAACACACACACATTCATGCTAGAAAATATTTCAACATTTATTACATTGAATCCGAATGTAAATTTGAGACGCAATAACGTCAAACATAGACACGAAAAATACGAATCATGATAGGAGGTGAAGCTGAATAGAATAGAAATGATCAACCTTTGCGAATACTGTAATAAAATTATAAATAACTTCGTGCCAACTTTAAACTTTTCTTAACATTTTTTATTTTCACTAAAAAAGTGCATGTAGTAATCTGAGTCTTGCAAGAAGGCACTCCAATGTCTAAAAAAATACTCTGATGTAACATTAAATCGTCAGAATTATGAGACAATATCACAGTCAGCCACAACTGAATGAACAATAAACAATAAACACTAATCTACAAATTGCGTCTCAACTGAAAAAATTAATTACTGAACTATGTGTATATATTTAATTAAACGAGAAGGTGATTCATGTATAATAAATGAGCTATACAATGCTACGACTCGCGCACCATTAAGCGACTTGCTCGCGTCATATAACATATAAGCAACAATAAAAAATGGAATAAAGAATAAAGAACATAATGCCACATTATAATATACTGGCATATTTGTAGTGAATGCGAACTCGTGCATTTTACCGAAACTTTGTTTTCGGCACCGGCTTGTTTTCCAGCTAAAGAGCCAGCAGCAGATTTATTTGAATTTTCATTAGCTGTAACGTAGGATTATAGAAACCTATCGAAATTATATCATAGAATACTGATCATAGTTTTAGAGGATATGTTTAACACATGCGTGCAAAAATTCCAAACGAAATAAAAGTTAACTATTATTAATGTGATTAGATTGCCGGACGTCTTTAAGGTGCAGGAAGTTAGGTTAATTAATATGTTATTCAATAACATTGAGATCCGTCTAGTTTCTGATAAAGAGCTTACGTTATATAAAACGATCGATAATACAGTGATAAAAATAAAAAAAAAACAGGAACTGCCAATAGCTATTTGAAGAGTTGATATATACCATTAAATATATTCATTCTAGCATCAATAGCAGCCTTCGATTCAATTACTGAAAATATAATTCAAATAAAGTTAATTAAAACGCGTAAGTCCCTATTATGGATATTTAGAGGAATCCATGTTAATCTAATGAGCTTTAAAACCTTGAACATGAAAAATTCGTGCAATAAACACCAAATCGAACATAAAATAGAAATAAGAAAAAAAAATTAATGCCTTAAACGTAAATGAGCGACAGTTTAAACTGAGTGTAAATGATAGTTAACTAGAGTAAGTGAGCAGAGTTTATGTAGGTAGGCAAAGATTTCACGTGATCGGTGGAACATACAAAAGCTAATCTCTAGTTGATTAAATAATATACAGTAGTATATCATGCATATTACTTACATAGATTAAACATCAGAACTTTGTGCAAATATCAATAATAAACTCATCACTTCGGCAGCCAACAAATTAACGGGAAACTCTGGAAACCATGACCACCATGAGTCACAAATACAATCGTTGAAAATTGTACTTGTGCAATCCAGAACATTACAATTTTGATCTGCCACGTTAGTATTTATCGGAATACTCTGGAAACGATGACGACAAAATGTCACAAATACAATCGTTGAAAATTGTAATTGTACAATCTCGAAGATTGCAATTTTGATCTGCTACGTTAGTATGGAAATTTTTGTGGCGGAAGAAGGCAGCATCTCGAGCTCTTCCTCACACAGGAAAGACTCGGTGCTCTTGCTGCTGAGGTTCTTAGCGAGCTTAGCTTTGGCGCGGTCGTCGAATGGATCGCTGGTCGGCACGAGCGTTGCCGCATTCTTCTCCAGCCATCGCACCGACCCGAACAACCTGCAAAAATATGTGAAGAATAAATAATGCAAAATAATTATCAGTATTCAAATGACAAACGTGGCAAAAATCGAGAGAAGTTGATAATATACTTACCTGCAAAGTTCAAATCTTTCCTAATACCTACGCCGCTTAGATGATTACAATTAGATTTTTACCCGTCATAACAAGAACATGAGAAAAAAATATAACTCCGTACTCACAGCAGTGAGTGACAGAGAGCGCATTTTCTCGTCGACGAAAACGTGAAATCACGGACGAACGGACAGACAGACAGACGGACGGACATGGCGAGCACAATAGCGAATTTTTTCCATAAATGAGAAAATGCGCTAATAAATATTAACATATGAATTTTTAATGAGTAGAGAATGAATATTGTAATTAATCACTTCAGGACCTTGAGATGTGTTCAACAAGAACACTTTATTGTACTTCACGAAAAATATTAAATGAAGCCAGCAGCGCACGCAATGCAGTTCGATAATAAGAGATGTCTGCACGCCCGCTGACTTTGATTTAAGTAAGAATAGTCGAATGGCAGTAATCATTAAAATAAAAAACTACGCTCTCAGAAGTAAATTTATTTCTTTACAATAATAAAACAGTACAAAAATTCGTACTAAAATTATTTAGAAGGGAAGTGACAAGAACACAGACAAAACATAAAATACGAAGACCTTCTATTCAATAGGAACATCAAGTGAACTATAGAAAAGGTACGTCAGCAATAGTTAGGTCTTTATTAATAGTAACAAATAATTCCTAGTGAATTAAAATAATTATAGCAGTTTAGTGACTAATACGAAAAAAGATCCCACAAAAAGATACGAGTAGACTGAATTCGTTTCTTGTAACATTAAAATGTAGTCGAATATATTAACGGCATGCGTATCTTGAAACATAAAACGGAAAAACACGACAGAAATTCTCCGCCTCTTTAAAAATCTTGATAGTTTAAATATCTTAAGGGAAATAATTGTCCAACAGCTTTAGGCTGCAGCACGATATGAATATTTTTAACAAATTAAAGACAGATAAAGTCATTTGAGCTCATCGGGATTATCAGATAATCACATTACCTTTTAAAAAAACGCTTTTATACGTGTTTTCCAGTGCTTCATTTACGACGCTCAAACCAGTCGTTAAATGAATTAAATAAGTTCTTAAATAAGCCACATCGCGATACATCACATCGACGGTACATTACATCGACGTTATATCACATCGACGGTACGTCACATCGACGGTACATCACATCGACGGTACATCACATCGACGGTACGTCACATCGACGGTACATCACATCGACGGTACGTCACATCGACGGTACATCACATCGACGGTACGTCACATCGACGGTACATCACATCGACGGTACATCACATCGACGGTACATCATACCTGAAATTTTTCGAACGATGAAAAGTTGCAAGTACTCATGCGGGACGTTACTGTTTTGTTCGACACTTCATCAGCTATGAAATATGAATCGTATTTACAGTTAAATCATTCATAATTAGAACACTAGTGGACAATATCAATTTCTGAGACTAATTGAAACCGGTTGGAAAACTTGAGAAGCTTATTTAATTATTTTGTTGTTATTATTTAATTACAAAAATGTCTGTAAGGCAATAATAATATAATAATAATAATAGTGTGTGATGCATTAGGTGCAGAGAATAATTCTACATTTATTGTCAATAACCGTTTACTCAGTTTGCTTTGCGGTTTCGATGTAAAACGCAACAAAATAAGTTACTTTCTGCCTATTCTTCATGTTTCTAGATGTAACCGCGTCTTTTATCCACTACGTTATATTTGCCAGTTCACTTATTCACCTCAAAGATTCCACCTTAATGAGTTAGAGTTGATTGATATGTTTCACAGAAATAAAGAGATAAGCATAAATTTTGCAAGGATTAAGGATAAAAACTTCGTAACAGCGACTCGAAGTTGTCATTTTACATCGAAAATGAAGAATATTAAGCATTAATCGTTGAGCATCATCAACATTGACCATTAATATTACTGAAGCTATAAGTCGGAAACGTGAATCTCCTTAATTTGTCTCCGCTTTACAAAACTTCCTAAGCATTTGTCCATAAATAACGAGTCTTAAATTACTCAGAAAAGTTTCACACACGATCACACAAAAAACTAAAATAATCAGGAAGAAGGCACTGTACAATATCTCCTTCAGTAGAAGCCAGCGTCTCTGCGAACGCAGTATAGCTCAATTTGTGCCGATGTCATGGAATGCGATGACGAGTATAAAGGAACAGCAACAGCTCCTACTGTATACACGGGATGGAGTATCACGGAACAGATCCTATATAAGCAGGATGAGAGATCACGGAACAGATCCTATATAACTGGATTTAGTATCACGGAACAGCTCCTATACACGAGATGAAGTATCGCGGAACAGCGCCTATAACGTATATAACCGGGATGAAGTATCACGGAACAGATCCTATATAAACTGCATGAAGTATCACGGAACAGCTTCTTTATAAACTGGATGAGGTATCACGGAACAGCGCCTAATAGGATAAGGCATCACGGAACAGCGCCTAATAGGATAAGGCATCACGGAACAGCGCCTAATAGGATAAGGCATCACGGAACAGCGCCTAATAGGATAAGGCATCACGGAATGGCTCCTAATAGGATAAGGCATCACGGAATGGCGCCTATAAGCGGAATTTCGTCGTCAGTTTGGTCCTCCGCCCAGAAGTCGGTGGCGGTCGACTGCTCGAAGTGCACGATGGCTGCGTTGTCCCGTAGCGACGCTGCGCTACTCGGGGCATCAAGCGCCGCCCCTTTGGGGTTGACGGCTTCAAACCTGTAATGAAATATCATTGGAGCTTTCAGATTTCCGCATTTCAATGATCACTAAAAAAGTCAATCGGTTTGATAAGAATACATCATTACTTGGATTCTAGTTGCCAACATTAAATTAATCAGTTTTGGCGAAAAATCTCTAATGATCGATACTTATTATAGAAAGTAAATTCACAGTCTTAAGTTGCAAGCCTGAAAAGTAATTAGAATATTTTGGTTTTCGCGGTTGTCATTCTATGATATAACAACACAAATGACAACCTAAATGGTGCTATTAACTTAGGCGGTTTAATGGGTTTAGGTTTAGGTTTATCATATCGATAACAGAAAAATTTAAATCATGAAACGATGGATCGGCAAAATAAACATTGATCAATAATTTTTTACAAAGATTTCAATTTACACATAATGGTAGTTGTGCATCGTTTAGGTTTATAATAAGTTTAGGTTTATCATATCGATTAAATAAAAATTTAAATCATGAAACGATGGATCGGCAATAAACATTGATGAATTTTTTACAAAGATTTAAATTTACGCATAAGGTAGTTGTGCATCGTTTAGGTTTATAATAAGTTTAGGTTTATCATATTAATAAAAAAAATACATCACGGAACGATGGTGCATCGTTTAGGTTTACAATGGGATTAGGTTTAGGTTTATCATATCGATAAAAGAAAAATTAAAATCGCGGAACGATGTAAGACCTGGCCCTGAGAGAGGCAGTGTGCGGACAGGAGCAGCGGCCGCGGCCGGATTTGCCGTCGCAGTTGCAAGACTTGCGTCGCGTCTTGTGTACGACGTCGCTCAGCTGCCGTCTTACCCTGCACGCCATCATCATGTATGAGGCAAGCATGATCATGTAGGTAGCTGATATGGTCATGTATTTAGGTGACATGATCATGTATTTAGTTGACATGATCATGTAGTTAGCTGACATGGTCATGTAAAAGGTCAACATGATCATGTAGTTAGCTGATATGGTCATGTATTTAGGTGACATGATCATGTATTTAGTTGACATGATCATGTAGTTAGCTGACATGGTCATGGATTAGGCCAACATGATCATGTAGTTAGCTGACATGATCATGTATACATGATCATGTCAGCTAACTACATGATTATGTCAGCTAAGTACATCATCATGTTAGCTAACTACATGATCATGTCAGCTAAATACATGATCATGTCAGCTAACTACATGATAATGTCAGCTAAATACATGATTATGTCAGCTAACAATTAACATCATCATGTTAGCTAACTACATGATCATGTCAGCTAACTACATGATCATGTTGGCCTCATACATGACCATATCAGCTAACTACATGATCATGTCAGCTAACTATAGTTAGCTGACATGATCATGTAGTTAGCTGACATGTTCATGTAGTTAGCTGACATGATCATGTAGTTAGCTAACATGATGATGTACTTAGCTGACATAATCATGTAGTTAGCTGACATGATCATGTAGTTAGCTGACATGTTCATGTAGTTAACTAACATGATGATTACGTAGTTAGAGAATATGGTCATTAAGCCGACATAAGAAAATCCGTATTCATGGTTCATCTTTATATGCTAAGTTATATCGAATGATTTACCAAAGAAAAATAGCGTAAACACAACGGCACTATTAAATGTGGTGCATGATCGACGTTCGAAAGTGGAACTTCATTATTTTATTACATTTATTTATAGTATTTATTTATTATTACATTATTTGTATAGGTCTAAACTATAAAAAAGCCTCATCATTTTTCGAATTATGTCAAAATTCTTAGATGTCCGCAGTACAACACAATTTTTGGATAACCAAGCATATTAGTAACAAACATTCAGTAAAAAAAGCGTCAAGCATCAACGTTAAAATAACTGAATTATTAGCGAGTGAATAATGGATGAGGCTGGCTTGGCTACTGTCATCATATCGACCTATTATCTAACTGGTCAGTTAATTAAAACTTCAAGTGAGTAGATAAAAGCAGCTAATTTAGTGTTGAAACTGATTTGTTGCAACCAAGATATTATGTAGTGATGAATACGATAAAAATAATGAAAAAATGTGCAGATACACGCGTTAACCTTGCAATAGATTCCTTTGTCAAAATCCCGATAGAAAAATCAGATGTTAGATGTGAGGAAAGTTTAAATTACAGAATCAAATATAAAACAGGAGTTGGAGCTCTGAACACGCAACACATGTAGGAGATTCATAACATTATGTCAGTCATGCGGCGTAATTGTAGGTACACGTTTTGCACTCAATTATGAGATGGACTCATAATCAGGTACACGTTTTGCACTCAATTATGAGATGGACTCATAATGAGGTGCACGTGTTGCACTCAATTATGAGATGGACTCATAATCAAGTGCACGTGTTGCACTCAATTATGAGATGGAAAGCTGCAAGAAACCTCAGACTGCCAGTGTATGTGTGTGTGTAACCTATAGAGTTTAGACACTCATAGATCATCGAGCAAGCAGACCCTTGACCGTTTAGGTGGTTTTATTTGTAAGAAACTTGCAATCAACAAATGCAGATAGGAACAAACAACAGCCGGATAACACAATTAACGTTACTAGCGAGTTTCAATCTAGACAAAATCCCAAAACACGAAACGCCCAAAGTTGCGGTAGAAATAGAACACAGAAGAATCTAAGACGACGCTTATGTTTATACCAGAAAGGGAGAATAACAGTATAAAATTCACATTCAGTTGAAAGAAGGTATAGCCATCAAAGAAATTCAAAAATAACTCTACGTTCAAATAATCCAAATACTAGACTAATGAAGCAATTCAAAGTTATAGAGGGACGCAAGAAGCGATAATTAAGGGTTATAATCAAGATATTAAAGACACGACTCACCTCGAACAGCGCCAGCACGTGTCCAGACACGAGCTTGCACGACATCATTACACCACGATCTGTCCCACACGATGCCACCATATCATTGTATCGTTAATGCCACGATAGCATTGTATCGTTAGCCACGGTGGGCGTACGATGCAAGTTACAGGTCTACAGAAGAGCCCAACACTTTTTCTTCTATCAGAAAAATGTCGTGGTTAGGTCAGCAGAACGTGACGAATAGCTCTCCTGATGCAGAATAGCAAAGACTTTGCCATCAGCGGACAAGATACCAACTCTTTTTGCTTAATGGATTCTTTTATATTTGAAATAAAATATTTAAAAGGCTCGAATCTGGAAATATTGCATAAAATAAAATTTTAAATTATTTAAAATATTTGCAGTATGTCTTGGTGTTGGTGTATCTTTAAGGAGAAAGAGCTTAAATAAATTATGGTCGTCCTACATTCTGAACTTTTAAATAATCATCGTTTTATTCTTAGTGAATTTATATGAGATTTTTATTTCCAAGCATCGAAGGAAAAATAAACATATCTTATCTTTTAGTCTAAAGCCACAATCATGATATTTAAACAGTGCAGTCTCCTAACCAAGATTCTGCTCTATAGCCACAGCTCTACTATATATCATTCAAGTAACAATTTAGAAAATTTACTTAGTATACTAAAATGAGCCACAAAGTAAAAAGTTTTAACGGTCTTAGTAATTAAATTTGAATTTGCACGACAGCCTGAAGAAGATCCCACAATATAAGTAATGCGTACTAATGCATTAAAAACAAGTAGCAAAACGACTATTCAATAGAATCCACGTGAAATATATAATTTTTGCTTAACTTTCTGTAGTTCGGGTAAGATTTCCAGCAATTGTTATGGCGCTTTTTTTGTAACTGTAGTAATTTTTTCTATTTAATATAAACCTCTAACATTCTCAGTAGCATAGTCATTAATTTTTGTGTGTTTTATCAACAAGTAAAATGGAATCTTGATACCAGCTTTAGTAAAAAAATAAGGCACGAAAAGTTCTGATAATGTCGATTCTGACGCGCACTAGTGAAGATCATCCACTAGAAAGTTCATCATCTAAATTATAAAAAAAGTTAATTCTCTAAGCGTACTAGACAGTTCATCTTCAGAGTTCATACGGCAGTTCATCTCCAGAGTTCACTAGGCAGTTCGTCTACAGAGTCAGCTTGGCAGCTCATCATGTGAGATATTATGTATCTCATCCTCAAATTTCAGAAGAAATCTCATCGTTCAAGTTCCCTTCAAGTACACCCGCCTATTCCTTCTCTCTTGTACCTGAGATTCTCATATGACAGTGAGCGGTGTTAGTTGCAGCCTTTATGAGCCAGAAGCATCATAACGAAATATTGTAATGACCGCACGCAAACCTCTTGCAAGTACCGAGAAAATGAGTGTAAAAACAACCTTCAACAAGCCCGGGTTGGGTTATAAGTAAATGCAATGTCCTCCGGATTGCAAGGCATGCTTTTATGTGCAGTTAAGTTCTGAATAAATCCAAACCTAATAAAAGATGAAATTAAACCATAACTATAGATGCGAGTTCACCCCTTAATTAAAGAAACCAAATTGAGTTCGATGCTCCATTATTGGAATATAATTAGAATCTTGCCACTTCAACGCAAGTGTCGTGCACAAACTTTAATGAAAAGTTACTTTCGTTGAAGCTGTGAACTCAAATGCAGTTGTGCAATCAATTTTTTGCAGACAATTGCACAGAGTGAGTCCAATTGGGCAGTTCGGGAAATTCACACAAAATTAGGATATACAACTTAGAATATACATCTAACTGATGACTAAATAACCTGAGCTGCATACTCCATTATAAGCGATATTATACAAAAAACAGCTAGTAGACTATAACCCATAGTAACTTCGTTCGGTTTACTAGGAGGTGAACCTAGATGAGCATAAAAAGATCAATAACAAAAATGAGTCGTCAGACGATTTAGGAAGTATGAAAGGAAGCTGTGAAGTGAATAAATACCTGGGCGAGAAATATAATGTACTGATCATATATAATGTAGGATTGTTCCAACACAAATATGGGAATGGCTCAAGTTAACATGTAGACGTTTTAACCCTCTACCGCCTGCCACGAGTAACCGGAGCAATATTGTCACAAGCCTACTTCCCAAAAAGGATACGTTCTAGTGAGCGCAAAATGACTTGCACTGATGGTTGCCGCCACGTACAACTTTAAAACGTTCTCTGTTGCGTACAAACGTCCTCAGGTTGCTACACTCAATAGTTTACTAATAATTTAAGTTGAAAGTCATGTTCCCGGAGAGTGACATACGGCGGTATAGGGTTAAGAAGCATATCAACTTCCTTATAAGTGCATGTCTTTTCTTAACTACAATATTTACTACCAGAATGAAATAAATTTCTGCCTCAGAACAGACAAAAATGACAGATTTTCAGTCTCAATGACAAGTTTAACTAAACTTTCACTAACTTCGCGTTGTAGTTACCAGTTCATCAACATTGAGAGATATCGTGTGGAAAAATCTCAACTTATTGTGGAAAACTGTTGAAGATTTTGTGTAAACATCTGTCAAATTTATCGCCTAAACAACAGCTAAACTTATCGTGTGAACAACAACTAAACTTATCGTACCTATGAAGAACAGCTCTAGTGGTTTAGTTAGCAACAGCTCTAGTTATCGTGTGAACAGTTGCTTATGTGACGTTTGAACAACAGCTCTATTTATTTCATGTGAACAACAGCTCTATTTATCGGGTGAACAACAGCTCTATTTATCGTGTATACAACAGCTCTATTCATTATATTAGAACAATTGCTTATGTGACAGTGTGAACAACAGCTCTAGTTATCGTGTGAACAAGAGTAAGTCATCAGGTGAACAGTTGTTATGTGACGTGTGAACAATAGTCTAATGTTATACAAATAAGAATGAGTGCAATATTGAGCAATACAAATAAGAATAATTGTAATATTGTGCACGGACCTGGAGAGGGTGGACGCCTGACGCGGTGTAGGCAGGTCATCGAGTCCGCGGTGCATGGAGATGTTGTCGTCGTCTTCTGATGTCCCCAGCCTCGCCTCCCGCGACTTGTGGAACTCTAATGTCGCCAGTGATTCTTTGCTCGGCTTACGGTAGCTATGCAAACATGAAAATGTTACATTAATGTACGAAACTGTCATAAACACACGTGAATTGCAAGCATCAGCAAACGGCACCCTTGAGAATGAACGGATGAAACATCCGTGAAAAATACTACTAGGTTCCATCAAAGGAATATATGGAATATATATACGTTCATGAAGCCCTCGAGATATATGAAGCCCTCGATCTGGGAGCTTCATATATCTTTAAATGTTATACATATGAGCTCATCCAAGTGTTATACATGTCTGCTCAATCATGTTCATATCACGCACAGACGCTAATTAAATGTACACTGCTTCACAGGCGGCCTCTTAAAGCAAACACAGCATGTGAATATAATATAATTCCGTTACTTTGAATTCGCAAATCATCAAAAAAGGACAGACATCTCTGCATTTAGATAGCATAATGCATTTTAGTTATGATAATGCTGACAATGATAATTCTGAATATATCAATCGCATTAATTTCATAAATCAGAACTTTTCATCTGAACGAATATTCCTGAAATTCAACATGCCGTACGTCTCCGAAATTATTTCCGTTTAGTTAAAGTTAATTTCGTCACCGAGTTCAGTTGTGTTAGATTTTCAAAGAAAAAAGAAGTATTAAAGTCAAAATTAAAAATACACGGTCAATTTACTGGAAAAGGGCATTATTTTATCTAAAATTGATTGTTTATTGTCATGTAGTTTTTTCAGATGATGTATGTTCAAAATCATTGTTATCAGAACCACCAGAAATATAAGGATTAACATTATCTTTACAATGATCGAAGATAAATATATATAAAAGATAATTATATACTGTAAAGACTTAGTACTATATAAGGACAGTTATAATTATATATCTTAGATAATTATATAGTGTAAGGACTTAGTATATAAAGACAGTATATAATTATATACAAGATAATTATATAATTAAAGACTTACAGTTTGAGGTAAAGGGAAGAAGCCACCACAGACACAGAGCTCATAGCCATCGCAGCAGAGCCCATCCATGGCTGCCGACAAACATAAATATTTAAAATAAAATTCACACGACACACTTACGCTTCACACGACACACTTACGCTTCACACGACACACTTACGCTTCACACGACACACTTACGCTTCACACGACACACTTACGCTTCACACGACACTATCCATCTCATGGTCCATGACACAATCCATCTCATGATCTACCCAATAAAAATTTACAGACGCGGCAGCTTCTGATTTGGAGTACCAGAAGCTGGGGCGACTCTAAATTTTGTTGGGGTATAATCCGTACCAACTTCATTATCAAAGAGAACTTTACAGCAATATTTTCATGTACAAAAGTTTCTTTCTCCAGAAGAAGCCAGGATGAAGACATTCCAATTTTTTAGAAGCTGGATTTTGCTTCGATAAATATGATGAAAACTTGTTACTTGCAGAGAATTAAGCTTAACTAACATCACTATTTTGAAGTACCGGTAACTTCACTATGCTTAACCTCTCATAACTTAACTAAGCTAACTTTTCTTAGCTATCATAAATGAATTAAACGCTTATAAATCGTTCAATAAGTGAGAGTGTCCTAGCAAACCAAAAATAAAAAAAAATCGTTTGCATTAGAAGTAAGTGAGCAACGGTTTAGGAGAATAATTGTAATTTTCACGACATTGACTTAAAAAATTAAATTGAAAAATTAAATCGAAATCAATTAAAAAATGCAATTGATTTCTACCACAAGTTTTGCTGGGATGAAATTAAAAAGTTACTGATGTTGTTGTCTTGAATTACAGAGATGTAATTTAAGATGAATACGATTGATGAGGATAATTTAAGATGAATACGATTGATGAGGATAATTCAAGATGAATACGATGAAATACGATGAGTAGAGTCACCTGCAAGACGAAGCCCAGAGGTTTAAAGACGCCAGCAGCGATAGGGATGCCCACGATGTTGTAGATCGAGGCGAAGAGAAAATTCATATGGATTCTTCGTACGGTTTTCTTGGAGAGATCCAAGCAGGCAACCACGTCCAACAGGTCTTGCTGTAACCACGGTTAGGCTTATCACGGTTAAGTCTATACATAAACGGTTAAGTTTATCACGGTTAAGTCTATACATAAACGGTTAAGCTTATCACGGTTAAGTCTATACATAAACGGTTAAGCTTACCACGGTTAAGCTTATCACGGTGAAGTCTATACATAAACGGTTAAGCTTATCGCGGTTAAATCTTACATAAACGGTTAAGCTCATCACGGTTAAGTCTATACGGAATCACGGTTAAGTTTATACATAAACACTCGAGGCATACACGGTTAAGTCTATGCATAAACGGTTAAGCTCATCACGGTTTAAGCTCATCATGGTTAAGTCTATACATAAACGGTTAAGCATATCACGGTTAAGTCTAGGTATACATAACTGCATCACGGTTAAGCTTATCACAGTTAAGTCTATACTGTTCGATAAAACTGTGAAAAACGGTCTTACCGGCGTTCTAGTAAACGGCCGCCCCGTGCAAATAAACCTTTATGCCTTTTTTTCAGATGTTACACGGGTTTTCAGCGTAAAATTGGAATAAAAACGGCAACACAGTGTTTATTTTCACGTGCCGGCCGGTTACTGAAACGCCGGCAATACCGTTTAACAGTGATTTTTCTAACAGTGATATACATAACTGTAAGTGATGTCATAACTGATAACATAACTACTTTATTTCACTAGATTAATGGTTATTAATGGCACACAAAAAGTAACGCAGATGGAAAGAACTGAATGTTCAGAAAGATATTCTCTGTTAGTATAATCTCAATGATTTCTAAAACTTTCACAATTTCGTAATAAATTAATTAAAGTCGCGCAGCAATGATTTTATTGTTGATAATATACAGATACAAATCAAAAGTTGTCAAATAATTGAATAAAAATACAGCCTTAGAAATATAGGTACGTATTACTTGAAATATTTCACTCAAATCTCATTAACACACATTGTAAAATGAATTAATAAAAAATATTTAGATATATAGAAATTACTTGAAATATTTCACTCAAATCTCCTCATTAACACACATTATAAACACGTCAGGAACGTGTCAGGCATTAAGCAGCGTACAGCACAACACACACAGCTTTGTGCTGTGCCTCGGGAGGCCGTAGCACACACGCAGTACATACAACAAACTGTACAACAAATAACACAGTAGAGAGTATGATAAACAATACAATAATACAGCACCAATCAACCACACACGGCACAACAACAACAGCACACGACACAAAAAACACAAGATGCGGCACAACATCAACAGTAACTACACGGCACAACAACACTACCTATACGGTACAACAAAAACGGCACAACAGCAATAACACACGGCACAACAACAGCACACAACACAACAACAACATCAACACACGACACAGCAGCATACGATACAACAACAACACACGGCACAACAGCAACAACAGCATACGACACAACAACACATGACACAACATCAACAGCACACGACACAACAACAGCACACGACACAACTACAGCACACGACACAATAACAACAGCACACGACACACAACAATAGTAGCAACAGCTCAGCAACAGCACACGACAAAATACACGGCGAAACAACAGCACACAACAGCAACAGCAGGTACCCTCATGAGGACGATGTCGGCGGCCACAACAACAGCAGCACACGTCACAACAACAGCAGCACACGTCGCAACAACAGCAGCACACGACACAACAGCAGCACACGACACAACAACAGCACACGACACAACAGCACACAACAACACACAACAGCACACAGCAGCAGCAGCAGCAGGTACCCTCATAAGGACGATGTCAGCGGCCTCCACGGCGACGTCGGTGCCTGAGCCGATGGCGATGCCGACGTCCGCCTGTGCGAGGGCAGGCGAGTCGTTCACTCCGTCGCCCACCATAGCCACCCGCACGCCTGTCGCCTGCAGCTGCTGCACCTTGCGCACCTGCAGCGTGACGGGGGTGTTAGTGTCTGCAGCTGCAGCGTGACGTGCTAGTGTCTGCATTGTTATTAGTTGAATTAAAATAATCATCAGCAAAGATCTCACCTTATGTGATGGAAGGACCTCAGCAAAGACCTCACCTTATGTGATGGCAGGACCTCAGCGAAGACCCTGTTTATGCCGACTTGTCTGGCGATGGCGCGCGCCGTACGCTGGTTATCCCCCGTCAGAAGGATCACCTCGAGCCCCATCTTGTGCAGCGTGTACACCGTCAGGGCGGCGTCCGCCTTCACCGTGTCTGCTACGGCCACCATGCCGCTCAGTTCCCCTGCAAAAATAGGTGGCGTATGTTTCAAACGAACTTCGAGGGCACGTCACACATAAGATTTATAGCAAGAATCAAATATAAACGTATAGGCAATGTATGCGCACCATTAAGTGCTATAAGAACAGCGGTGTGGCCGAATTTCTCCTGTTGGGACATCTGCTCGTCGACTGCGTCAGGCACGGCCACGCCGTTCTGCTTCATCCAGCCTCTGTTGCCGATGATAACCTGTACATAATAAATTATTTATATTGCAAGGATAAAAAGCTAGAGACTTATATTCAGTATGCAGCCTCTATTGCCGACGATAACCTGCACATAATACAAAATAATTTTTATTGCGAGGATAAAAAGCTCGAGATTTATATTCAGTAGGTTAACCTATTTTATATAAATACTGATTTATTAGTATTCAAGATATTGAATAATACTAATTGCGACCATTTCCGTATCAAATCAATCTGATTAAATCTTATTGAATCTAACTAAATCGTTAGATTAAATCAGAGAGTTGATAATTAAGGGAGTTATTCCAATTATAGAAGACACTTTAAAATATGCATTTCATACAAACCATTACTAGTTGAATATATGAATACCACATCGAAATGCTAGGCCTATAAATAACTCACTGTTTATTTTAGCTTAGAAGGTGCGTTAAGATTGTGGAATTAGTGAACTCAAAAGTTTACTAAGGTCGTAGTGATACTACCAAAATAGTTATTTTATTATTCATAGTTCACTTTTTAAGGCCCAAATAGAAAAAAGTATTGGCACTACACACCCCAAAGTGTGTAGTGCCAAAACTAGAGATGTCTAGGGCTAACCCTAGAAGTGCATGGAACTAACCCTAAAGGAGCCTAGGACTAACCCTAGAGGAGCCTAGAACTAACCCTAGAGGAGCCAGGAACTAACCCTAGAGGAGCCAGGAACTAACCCTAGAGGAGCCTAGAACTAACCCTAGAGGAGCCTAGAACTAACCCTAGAGGAGCCTAGAACTAACCCTACAGGAGCCAGGAACTAACCCTAGAGGAGCCTAGAACTAACCCTAGAGGAGCCTAGAACTAACCCTAGAGGAGCCTAGAACTAACCCTACAGGAGCCAGGAACTAACCCTAGAGGAGCCTAGAACTAACCCTAGAGGAGNCTAGAACCAACCCTAGAAGTACCTAGAACCAACCCTAGAAGTACCTAGAACCAACCCTAGAAGTACCTAGCCCTAAACACCCGCTACTAAAGACTCACGTTCACAGGCTCTGTCAAAGGAACACCAGCAGGCACGTGGCTAGAGGGGGAGGCCCCTAGAAGAGGTTTGCTAGAGTTTGTCTCGTCGATGACCTGCAGGAGCGAGGAGGCGCTAGTGTCCTCCTTCTGCAGGGTAAAGTCCACCAGCACGTCGTCCACCAGCAGCAGAGAGTCTGTAGGCTTCAGCGTGTACGGAATATTGATCCTGTAAGGTAGAGACGAGATTTAATTAATATTGTAATGTTGTTCTAGGACTGCACGACATTAATGAGAACTTGTATAATTATTATTCGATTATTGTTTAAATCAGGGGCCTCCAAACATTTTTCGCCAAGAACAAGCTTTCTGAAATCTTCGCGGGCCAGTCACGCTCATTTACTGTTTTTACTTCATGCGTAATCAGAAATAAAGGCAACGCTGGATTTTTCTACACAGAATCGTGCTTGAATTTAAAATTTTGTACACAGTGATTTTGTGTGATTTTTAAACACATAAAAATCGTGCTTGATTTTTGTACACACTACGAGATATACTCGGCAGGCCGGATAGAACCTAGCCGCGGGCAGAATCTGGTTTAATAACCCCTGATTTAAATAATGACCTCTGGTTTAAATAAAGACCCTTAGTTTGAATATTGAACCCTGGCTTAAATATTGACCCCAAGTTTAAATATTGATCGTTTAGTAACTAGGAACTGACCGCTGTTTTGAATAATAACCCCTGGTTTAAATAATGATCGTTCAATAACTTAGAACTGACCCCCTGGCTCAAATAATAATCGTTTAGTAACTTAGAACTGACCCCCTGGCTTAAACAATCACCCCCGGTTTAGATAATGACCATTGACCCCTGGTTTAAAAAATGTTAGTCCATTAACCAGGAACTGACCCCGCCTCGCGTATTCTGGACGGTGAAGGTGTGGTGGCAGAGAGCATCTTGAATGATGTGGTTGAGGCCACGACGGCGGGCTCAATGTTGCTCACTTGACATATGAGCCCTGAGCCTGACACAGCCCTGAACCCACTCGTGTGACCCATCACATCGCTGTTCAGCACACCTTTGCAGAACCCGCTTATCGCTGCACAAAATTTAATTTTTAACTTGCGATAAAAAAATTAATTAAAATATTAATTAAATTGCGATAAAAAATACAAATTTAATTTTTAACTTCACTTTAACATCACTTCTTGTCTGTTTGTCTGTCTGCTACAAATCTTGCAATCGAAATTTAATACATTTCTACTTATCCTATCAGTCTGAAATTTTGCACACTTGTGTAAAGTTGGAGACAATGCATGAATCAAATGTCAAAATAAATTATTTTACAGGTTAAATTTTTTTTCAAAATTAAAAAAATTGAAAAAATAATTTTGTCTTATAACTGATATTTGACACACTTTCACCTTTCTAATTGATCTGAAATTTTGCACACTTGTGTGAAGTCAGAGGCAATGTATGAATCAATTAACAGAATAAATAATTTTGAAAAAAAATTATATATTAAAAAAAATTTATATATATTAAAAAATTGAAAAGTTAATTTTTTTAATTTTTGAAAGTTAGATGAGAAATTCATTGTACATTTGTAAGATTGGAGATACTGGATTCTTTGGAAGTATTGTCTTTAAAATGTAATTTTCAAACGTATATTATTTTAATTTCAAACTTGCGATACATGTTAATGTGAAGCAACAAAAAATCAGCAAACCCTTGTAAAAATCGCTTATCGCTGCACAATTTTTAATAGCTGCAATTTTTAATTTTTAACTTGATCTGCAAAGTAATGTGAAGTAATAAAAAAATCTTACATGATTCAAATTCCATGTTGAGCCAATAATTGAGAAACATGAACGTTTTTACAATTAAAATACATACATGATTCATCGTCAGCGATATGAATGATAGTAAAATTCATATGAATGAATCACTCTAATTCGGATATAGGATGCTCAGACGCGGAATATGCAGCACCAGTATGATGTAAGGCTGATTAGGAATAGGAATAGGAATAAATTTTACATAAAATTAGGGATTGAGGTTAGACATAAACTCGAGATTTCGAGGGAGGAGCTCGGAACCGCCTAGCTAGAGCGCTGCGCGAGACCGGCGCAGTATTTAAGGGAGAGCGCGGGCCGACCGCGAGTTAGTCACGTTCGGGTGTTCGAGGCAGTCAGACGTATCGTGGATTCACTAGAGTGGCCTGCAAGTTTCCTGAACTCCAGCGAAGAAAATACACCCCGATTGAAAGTCCTGCAACTATTTGAACACCACGTATCGTGACTGAGCAGAAGCAGTATAATATAAATATATTTATAGTTTTATCCCTAAAATGCTTAGACTTGCCAGTAGCAATGGGATGCTCAGAAGCAGACTCGGCGGCGCCGGCGACGGCAGCAAACTGCGCGAAGGAGACGCGGGGCGAGTAGAGGGAGATGCGCGTGACACGAGGCTGTCCGTGCGTGATGGTGCCCGTCTTGTCGAACACCACGCTCTTGATCTGAGGGCGTCGTGACAAGGACGTCAGGGGTGACATGGGAGACAAGGGCTTCAGGTGTGACAAGGGCGACAAGGGCGTCAAGGGCGTAAGGACCAGGGCGTCAAGTGAGACAAGGGCGTCAAGTGAAAAGTTCGTCACTTGTGATAAGCGCATGGTAAATGTAAAGAATCTTATTAGTTTGTTGTTGTTGTTATGTATATCGTCGTGAAGCTCATGCATGAAGAGGATTATAAGAGCATCTTAGTTCGGGGCATTGACATTCATTGTCTCCTGTGGCTTACAGACAACTGAATCGGAAGTTGATTGAAAAATGAGTGAAAAAGTTGCTGAATGCCCATTAACCCTCTACCGCCAGACATGAGTAACCGGAGCAATATTGTCACAAGCCTACTTCCCAAAAAGGATACGTTCTAGTGAGCGCAATAGGACGTGCACTGATGGTTGCCGCCACGTATACAACTTTAATATGTTCTCTGTTACGTACAAACGTCCTCAGGTTGCTACACTCAATAGTTTACGTATAATTTAAGTTGAAAGTTATGTTCTCGGAGAGTGACATGCGGCGGTAGAGGGTTAAAACATGCACCTATCACAAAGTGCCCATTTTAATGCAGTCAACTAAGGATCAGTATCAGATACCCCTTGATGCCACAGACCTTATGGGCGTTCTCCAAGGGCTCGGCGCCCTTAATAAGGATGCCGTTGGAGGCGCCCACCCCGGTGCCCACCATGACGGCGGTGGGGGTGGCGAGGCCCAGAGCGCAGGGACAGGCGATGGCCAGCACCGTAATGCCGCAGCGGAACGCTGACTCCAGGATTATCTCCAGCTTTGTGAACCCTTCCGCCTCCTGCACCATGGAGTGTATTGTTTAAATAATTTTACAACTTTTACTGCTTGGCGGAGTTTATTATTTAACTAAGTTTTTCAAAATATAAAACTTGGCACCTTAAAATTTGATACCACTAGTTCAAGGTACAAGTAAGATAATAAAAGTTGTGTAGAACACTAATTTCATCCTAATGATCACTCATCCCTCACTATTATCTGTAAATATTTGTAGTAGAAATATTTTCCAAACATTTCGTAAACATTTGTAGTAGAGATATTTTCCAAAAATTTCGTAAACATTTGTAGTAGAAATATTTTCCAAACATTTCGTAAATATTTGTAGTAGAGATATTTTCCAAACATTTCGTGAACATTTGTAGTAGAAATATTTTTCAAACATTTCGTAAATATTTGTAGTAGCAATATTTTTCAAACATTTTGTAAACACTTGTAGTAGAAATGTTGTCTAGAAATTTCGTAAACATTTGAAATTTGTAGTAGGAATGTTCTCCAAACATTTCGTCAACATTTGTAGTAGAATTGTTCTCTAGACATTTCGTAAACATTTGTAGCAGAAATGTTTTTCAAACATTTCGTAAACATTTGTAGATGAGTACATGATTGCTCAGTGAACATCGTGTCATATCCATGTCTGAATTTCTAACACTAACGTGCAGCCATAAAATTTCAAGACAAATTCATCCTATTCGTACTAACAAAATCTGTGAAAATTATCTAAAGAGTACAAAGGAACTAATCGATAATGCAAATCGTCACATTCTAGATCAAAAAAATTATTTTGGCGCTAGTAAAAGAGCTTTTATGCAGCGTGTATGACCAATTTAAAATGTGACTGGATATCAGCACGCACACAATTCCAATTAGCAAAACATAGATAAACCTCAAAAAAGTTATTAGAAATACGCTTTTCTCCCTAACAAATTGAGAGACTTTAATACAAATTCAGCAATTTTAAATGATCAAACTGACTCTCTGCTGCCAGTTGGGCTCGACGAGGCTGATATCAATGTAGCCGACGATGATCCAGGAGACGAGGGTGAGGGAGGAGACCGTCACGACGAAGGGCACGAAGTAGCCCGCTATGCGGTCCGCTAGCTGCTGGATGGGCGCCTTGCTCGTCTGGGCCTCTTCGATCAGCTTCACGATCTGATCAGTATACACTTTATTGAGATCTCAGACTTCGTTAATGATCTGAAGATTCATAAATGATCTAAAGATTCATAAATGATATAAAGTTTCATGGATGATATAAAGATTCATAGACTATAAAGACTCATAGATGATCTAAAGATTCATAAATGATCTAAGAATTCGTTGATGAATGTCAGATTCGTGTTAATGTCAGATAGTAGTGAATGGTTTTAAAGATTCATAAATGATCTAAAGATTCATAACTTATGAGATGATTCACGAATGTTCTGATATTCACGAATGAGTTGGAAATTAAATATGATCAGTTAATAATATAGCATTGATAGGTATTAAATTTGACATTTGATAACAACACACGGCATTAAATTCGTTTCTACGTCACAGTAGCGCAACAACCCTACGATCGCAGCAGGCGACAAACTGCCTGCATCACATCGCCTGCACCAGCAGCAGCAGCAGGCCATACCTGCGCCAGGGTTGTGTCCTGCCCGATGAGGGTTGCCTGCACCAGCAGCAGCAGGCCATACCTGCGCCAGGGTTGTGTCCTGCCCGATGAGGGTTGCCTGCACCAGCAGCAGCAGCAGGTCATACCTGCGCCAGGGTTGTGTCCTGCCCGATGAGGGTGGCCTGCACCAGCAGCAGGCCGTTCTGGTTGATGCTGCCACCGATGACGGCAGAGCCTGGCTTCTTAGCGACCGGCATACTCTCGCCTGTGATGAGGGACTCGTCTGCTGTGCTCGTGCCTGTCAGCACGCGTCCGTCTACAGGGATCTTCTCGCCTGGCTTCACCTGAACGTAACGGTTCCATCATATAATTATTGTTCTATAACAATAATAATAATTATGAATAATTATTGTTTTATAATAATAATTGTTATGAATAATTATTGTCTTGTAATAATAATTGTTATGAATAATTATTATCTTATAATAATAATTTTTCTGGATAATTATTGTCTTATAATAATAATTGTTCTGAATAGTTATTGTTCTAAAATAATAATTCTTCTGAATAATAACAGAGATTTTTGGTGGCAGTTTAATAGAGAGAAGCTGTTTAATTAACTCAAATAGAGGAAAATGGTTCGTGTTTTTACAATGTAATTATTGGAAAGTAAATTTTTGAGGAAATTTGTCATTGATAATAACTGAGACAAGCAACACCTCATGCGTTTGCAGGAGTATTTCAGCGAACAAAATTTTGTTATCCATTTTACATTAGGATAGAAATCTTGCGTTTTCACTGATATCAACAATGAGATGAAATTTTAGTTCATCTCATAGCTGTGCTCTAGTGATGTTTTAAGTAATAGACCTTATACCTTAATAGACCTTTAGACCTTCAATAGACTTTAATATACCTTTAGACCATTAATAGACCTTTAGACCTTTAATAGACTTTAATAGACCTTAATAGTCCTTTAATAGACTTTAATAGACTTTAATAGACCTTTAGACCTTTAATAGACTTTAATAGACCTTAATAGTCCTTTAACAGACTTTAATAGACTTTAATTGACCTTTAGACCCTAATAGAACTTTAGACCGTTAAGTAGTAGACCTCGTACCTTACCTTCAGAACATCAGCGCGCTGGATGAGCTCGACGTCAATAATCTTCTCGGTGAGGACCTGTTTAGTGTCAGGGTCTATGGTCACCAGACACGCCTCCGTCGCCTGCAGCGAGATCAACTTAGCCAGCGCCTCCGACGTCTTGCCCTGACAACCGCGCAAACATTTTATACTTTGTTACAGGAATGATAACAAATAAAATGGTTGCAATAATTATGATTAACATTATTGCAGTAAAATAGTTGCAATAATTATTGTTAACCTTATCGTACAAACGAGATACAGGCTGCATCAATGGTCATGTTACTTTTCTATACAGGATTATTTTTAACATTATTGCACAAGCGAGGAACGTGCTCGGAGGTCTTGCCCTGTCAACCGCGCAAACTTTTTATACTTTGATACAGGAATGACAACAAATAAAATGGTTTCAATAATTATGATTAACACAATTGCAGTAAAATAGTTGCAATTGTTAAAATTATTATCAACATTATTGTACATTGTTGACATTGTTAACATAATTGTACAAGCGAGAAAAACATGCTGCATAAATGGTCAAATGACACAGGCAACTCATGAGGATTATGAGGAAAATGTAGCGTACTTTATTAATATATTTCCACCATTTATGCTTAAAGCCCAAACCAATATTCAAGATTTCACCTGATTAAAAACATATTAGAAATGCTCAAGTTACAAAATAATAAAATAATGTTGGCAGAGCACTAACTTTAGCGACATGGTCGAGTCTTTTATGATAAAAGCCAAACCAATATTCATGATCACCTGATTAAAAAATATTAGAAATATTCAAGTTACAATAAATGAAATAATCTTGGCAGATCACTGCCAAAATAATGGAATAATATTATCAGAGCACTAACTTTAGTGACATGTTCGAACCAGCGTCCGGCAGCAACGAACATGAGCAACATGGGCGGTGAGTCGAAAAAAGTAGAAATGTTCACGTTACAAAATAATGAAATAATTTGAAATAATGTTCTCATAACACTAACTTTAGTGACATGTTCTAGCCAGCGTCCGGCAGCAACGAACATGAGCAACATGGGGGGCGTGTCGAAGAAAGTCATGGGACTTGTAGGCTGTACGAGGATCATGGCGGCAAGAACAACACCAACACTGTACAGATATGATACAGTCGTCGCCAACATGATGAGCACGTCCATGTTGGCTGTACCGTGACGAAGAGCCTTCACCGCCTGCACGTAGAAGTGCCGACCGCCCACGAACTGCAAAACGTTATACGAGATAAGACAAAGGAAGGCTGGACTTGATTATTGAAGTCCTCGAATAAAACGTGGGGGCAATTGCCTCTACTACGATATGGCATTCTATGACGTGGCTGAAATACGTGCGGCTAAGATGTCCTATAATTAAGATAAAGGTTTAATACATGCGCTAAGATAACCTATAATCAAGATAAAAGCTAACATTAAGGCAAAGGTTAAATACGTGCGAATACAGTAAGCCATTCATTACATCATTAATTCTTTGATCTGATATGTTCAACGAGCATATAACCTCTTTGAAATTTTGCTTCAATACATTATTAACCGAAATGACTTCACTATAACATAATTATAAAACGATGAAAAATAATATTTTTATTTCACCTGCACGGGCGTCGAGAGGAGAAACAGCAGCAGATTTTCCAGTGACAAACCAGGGACAACGCAACACATTTGCTCATGTGTCATGTGCTTCATCATAGCCATGTAGTATATCATGACGATCATGGCAGGCAGACCTGCAGACATAAGCATTACCATCATGACCATGTAGTATATCATGACGATCATGGCTGGTAGACCTGCAGACATAAGCATTACCATCATGCTATCATGGCCATGTAGTATATCATGACGATCATGGCTGGTAGACCTGCAGACATAAGCATTACCATCATGACCATGTAGATCATGATGATCATGACAAGCATTACCATCATGACCATGTTATCATGACGATCATAGTAAAGATAATTTATCTTGAAGTAAGTAAGAAGAAGGCTCTAGAAGACTTCTCCCTAGCAGTAAGAGTGGAGAAGAGGAAGGCATCAATGACTAGAAGCAAAATTTACCTTGGTAAAAATAGCTAGTAGTTTTAATAAATATAACTCAGTACTCACTGCAGTGAGTGACAGAGAGCGCATTTTCTCAAGTCACGGACAGAAAGGCAGACGGACAAACAGACAGACGGACATGGCGAGCACAATAGCGCTTCTTTTCCATAAATTAAATGAGAAAATGCGCCAGAAACAACTTCACATCGCTCAAACATGAACGAAAATCAGCTAACAAATATCATATTCGCGTTATAAATACAGCAAAAACCAGTATGAAGTAAATTACTATCAGTATATTTAATGAATTGTACAAATCTTAAATGTATACAATTGATATTTACCAAATAGAAGCGAGACGATGAAAGAGTTCCTCCACTTGGCGATCTCAGAGCTGTGGTCGAGGTAGTTAGAGCTCTTCATGGAGGTGTTCTGTAAACTTGCCGTGAAACCCAGACCCTGGTTGTTATAACACATATATTTAACTAGCTTGTTATATTATGCTCGTAATAAATAATGTTATCACAATATGATCGTAATAAAGATCTTTAATTTGTTTATATATATTATATGGTATATAAGAGGCGGCGATCCATCGTGGCCTGGGACTGCTACGTCCGAAAGAAATACAAGGGATACTAAGGATATGAATACATGTTGTACCTGCTAATTATGCTCGTAATAAAAGATATTTTGGTCATATGAATACATGTTGTACCTGCTAATTAATATATACTGCGGTACAGGCAGCAGCAACACATAATCAAGAACTTTGAAAGCCAATTTGATTATTTAAAAATACATTTTTAAACGCTTTCTGCAGAATAATTGGACCAATGGTAAAAACATAATCGAGAAAAACAATCAAAATATAACTAAAACAAAAAAAAATTTTTTTAAACCATCGAAACGGTAATCTTGCATCAAATCTTAGAATGTTTAACAACTATTCAAGTCCCGTATTGAGATAGATAACATCTTCAGTTATTGTCAACAATGAAATGACTACAAGGCATAATAATTATAAAGAAATATCATTTTCGATTCATCCACACAATCATACCTTAACTTAACTTAAATTTAATTAACTTAACTTAAAATTACATATCCTGCTATGATAACCTTGCATTATCATCGAGTTTTTAAAGCAAACATTAACTAAAAAATGCAGGTTTAAATTAACAAAACTTAAATTAACATAAAATTACATATCATGCTACGTAACCTCGCATTAATTATTATTGAATTTTTATATCAAATATTAACTGGAAATGATAATCATTATAGGAAAAGGAGCACCTCGATGATCTTCCGAGGTCCGGTGACCCATTATATAATAAATAAATTAATATTAATCGATAAATATATTGATACACGATATATTTCATAATGACTGATATATATATTGATAAATAATAATAATTATAAGAAAAGAAGCACCTCAATGCACTCGATGATGTCCCGAGGTCAGGTGACCCATTACGATAATAAATAAATTATTATTTAAATATATATATAGAGATGAATGATATATTTAATATTGATAAATATATAGATGAATAATAATAATTATAAGTAAAGGATCACCTCGATGCACTCGATGATGTCGCGGGGTCCGGTGGTGGCCGGATCAAAGCAGAACTTTCCCTTGGTTGTGGTGAGGGCAACCACGGCGCTCTGCACTCCCCTCAACTTCTTCACGTGTGACTCTATGACGTGCACGCATGATGAGCATGTCATGCCACTTATCTGCAGCATGAGCAACACGTCATGCCACTTATCTGCAGCATGAGGAACACGTCATGCCACTTATCTGCAGCATGAGGAACACGTCATGCCACTTATCTGCAGCATGAGGAACACGTCATGCCACTTATCTGCAGCATGAGGAACACGTCATGCCACTTATCTGCAGCATGAGGAACACGTCATGCCACTTATCTGCAGCATGAGGAACACGTCATGCCACTTATCTGCAGCATGAGGAACACGTCATGCCACTTATCTGCAGCATGAGGAACACGTCATGCCACTTATCTGCAGCATGAGGAACACGTCATGCCACTTATCTGCAGCATGAGGAACACGTCATGCCACTTATCTGCAGCATGAGGAACACGTCATGCCACTTATCTGCAGCATGAGGAACACGTCATGCCACTTATCTGCAGCATGAGGAACACGTCATGCCACTTATCTGCAGCATGAGGAACACGTCATGCCACTTATCTGCAGCATGAGGAACACGTCATGCCACTTATCTGCAGCATNTCCTGAGGACATGAGGACACTTAGAGGCCATCAGCGCCACCAGGATGTTGGCTACACCTGAGGACATGAGGACATTTAGAGGCCATCAGCGCAACCAGGATGTTGGCTACACCTGAGGACATGAGGACACTTAGAGGCCATCAGTGCCACCAGGATGTTGGCTACTCCTGAGGACATGAGGACACTTAGAGGCCATCAAGATGTTGGCCACTTCGTAAGCCCCTATACTCTAATTAGCATAAATAACATTCCGTTTAAATAGACATTTAAAGAAAACAATGCGACATGTGCGCGTTGAGTAAAGTAAACAAACATACAAGTAAAGATAACATTCTATATGTTTACAAGAAGAATCAGAATAATATGCGTTTAAAAATTACTTTTTAAAGACAACACTTCTAAAGAGGCCGGCACAATGAATTTCTAACTTTATTTTTAAATATTGAAATGAATTAGTTTTACATTTTTTAATATCAAAAAAAATTAATTTCTAAGTTTATTTATTCCCTTAATTGATTCATGCATTGTCTCCGATTTTAAGCAAGTGTGCAAAAGTTGAGATCGATTGGACCGGTAAAAGTGTGTTAAATATCGATTATAAGATCTGTAGCAAACAAGCAAGAAGTGAAGTTAAAGAGAAGTGTTGTAAAAAAAGGAAAAAAACTGTAAAAAAGGGAAAAATATAACTCAGTAATCACTGCAGTGAGTGACAGAGAGCTCATTTTCTCGTCGACGAAAACGTGAAATCACGGACGGACAGACAGACAGACAGACGGACGGACAGACGGGCATGGCGAGCACAATAGTGCATTTTTTCATTAATGAGAAAATGCGCTAAAAAGGAAAGGAAAAAGGAAAAAAATCAAAATAAAATGAAATATTGTCAGGACTAACCAGGAATTTTCTTGGCATGTTTCTCGATGGCAGCAACACAGGACGCGCAGGTCATGCCCGTGATCTTGATGTAGGATTTGGTCAGGTCACGACCATCCTTGGTCTTAAGATCCGTCCTGAACTTGTCGTCTGACGGCAGACTCTCCGCAGACAGACGACTCACTGCAGCAGGCGACAGAAACTTGATGTGAATAACACACGGTGTTCCAGCACCGCCTGGGACTTTAAATCCAGAACACGATACGCAGGCGAGAGAAAATTGAGGTGAATAACAGGAGGTTTTCCAAAACCGCCTGGGACTTCTAAGTCCAAAACACGGGCTAAGAATGCTTAGGATAACCATGAATGAAGAATATAAACAAATGTTGTACGTGAAAACATTCCTGAAAGAACGTATAACTAAGCAACAGAGCAGCTGCTGCATCAGAGAGTGTCTCAGAGAGATGAATGTTACAGAGTGCAAATGCCGACGATCGTCCGACATAAGCAATTGAACTAGTAACAATTGAACTAGTCAATAACAACCATCAAACTAGTCACTAACAACCATCAAACTAGTCACTAACAACCACCAAACCAGTCACAGCAACCACGAAACTAGTTACAATAACTCACATCCTCCCTTGACTAGTTTCTTATGGGTCTCAAAGCTGGGTCGGTGTTTAAGCGCGGCCGTGAAGCCCATGTCGTCGATCATGTCGGCGACCTGCTGGGCACACAGCACCGACGCGTCGTACTCCACACGCCCCTCTCCTGCCTCCAGGCTTACCTGACGGGGGTCATAAATAGTGTTACTGTGGTGTTATTGAGGTAATGAATAGTGTTACCGTGGTGGTAATGAATAGCGTTACCCTGGTGGTAATGAATAGTGATACTGTGATGGTATTGAGGTAATAATTAAACGTCGTACTCCACACACCCCCCTCTCCTGCCTCCAGGCTTACCTGACGGAGGTCATGAATAGTGTTACCGTGGTGGTAATGGATAGTGTTACTGTGTTTCCTTAGTTTCCTTAGTATTTGTTTGGGACGTAGCAGTCCCAGGCCACGATGGATCGCCGCCTCTGATTATCGTTCACCCGCCCTCATTTGGGCCACCTGATGTACGATGCTGTTGCTTGCTTCTCGCCACTGGTAGTATTGCAGGGGAGGTCGATCTGGGATTGTGCCCAGGAACACGTCCAGTTGTCTCTTGAAGGTCTCCAGGGTGAACTCCCCCCTCTTAGATCCTTTGGTAGGGCGTTGAACAGCCTTGACCCTGCCACGGAAAGTGATCCTTCCCGTAGGGATTGAAATCTGACTGCGGATCTGTTACGTAGTGGGGGGATCTTGAACAGTCTCCCCCTTCTCTCGTTGTGATATGTCTTAATCCTGAAGGTCTCGCTCTCGAAGTTTGGCACCATTCCGGTTATCATTTTCCATGTGTACAGAATGACATACCTCTCCCGTCTCCTCTGCAGTGAGTACAGACCCAGTCGTTGAAACCTCTCCCAGTAGTTAAACTTCTCCATCCCTCTGATCCTGGAAGTGAAGGTTCGCTGGACTCCTTCCAGTTGCCGCACTGCGCCGAGTGTAAACGGGGTCCAGAGCTGGCAGCAGTATTCGAGAATTGGTATTACAAGGGCTCTGAAGAGTGTGATCATCGGTTCCGCTTCTCTTGTTCTGAACGTCCGCCAGCGGTGATACATTCCAGCTGTTGTGGTATTGAATAGTGTTACCGTGGCGATATTGAGGCAATAAATAGCGTTACCGTCGTACTCCACACGCCTCTCCCCAGCCTCCAGGCTTACCTGACGGAGGTGATGAATAGCGTTACCGTTCAATACCGTTACCGTGGCAGTATTGAAGTAATAAATAGCGTTACTGTGGCGGTATAGAGGTAATGAATAGCGTTACTGTGGCGGTATTGAGGTAATGAATAGCGTTACTGTGGCGGTATTGAGGTAATATAGCGTTACTGTGGCGGTATTGATGTAATATAGCGTTACCGTGGCGAATGAATAGCGTCAACTGGCCCACTTTGACCCACCTTAATGTCCCGGATGCCGTGTCTGCTGCCCACGGTGCCCTCGATGTTGCGCACGCACGACATGCACGTCATGCCCGCGATGCTCACCACGCACGACCGCGGCACGTCTGCTCACACATGTCACAATATTCAGACTACACAGGAATATTCAAACTATAGATGAAGATAAGTTGGTTAAATACGAGGCCTGTCTAAAAGGTATCCGACCATAGACCAGAAAAAATATTTCATATACCTGACGGGCTTTGCTCTCTAATCCCCTTCAAACTAGGCCTTTTGTGCTTGCACACACTTCCACTGCCGGAAACTGCCTGTCGGAACACAAACCACTGCCAACCGATCCTTCCACTGTCGGAACACAAACCACTGCCAACCGATCCTTCCACTGTCGAAAACACCTCTGGAAATCTTCTTTTGGAATGGTATTCATCTACACCGTCGCATTCCGCATTATCTCTTCTCTACTCTCAAAACGAGATCCTTTCAGTGACGTCTTCAATTTTGGAAACAACCAGAAGTCGCAAGGAGCCATGTCTGGAGAGTAGGGAGGTTGGCGAACGACTGGAATTCCATGTTAGGCCAAGAAATGTTGGATCAAAAGGAGCAGTTTGGAGTGCCGAGCAGTTTGGGGACTACGAGAAGAACGCTGGTCACTCTCCGCTGATGTGAAGTCATTTTTGGCCTCACATCAGTAGTGTGAGGCCACACTGCTTTATCTGTGTTACACCCATCGCATCTTCTCCAGACACCTACTAAATCTGACGAATTCTTTCAATTTGAGAATCACCAAGCTTTTGACAAAGTTTTATGCAGTACCTTTGCTGAACACGTTCAGTTATCTTGAGAGGTATCGGTAATGCTATGGACGAACACGTAGGATTACCGATGATTACTTCACCACACTCAGCGACTGATAGGTAGCGACTCACTACTGGCTAGTGAACACTACTGAACACTATTTGAAAGTGTTCAATTGTGTTCAATAGTGTTCAGTAGCCAATGGAATGATGATTTCAATGGAAGACCGTGACAAAATTTTGCATGTTAAAAAAATAAAGGTTGGATACATTTTAGACAGGCCTCATATACGCCCTGCATGTATAGAAAATATTCAGGCTAAACATGAATGAAATATTATCAAGTCTACTTAATATTAATATTTATTTATATTAATTATATAATTATTATTAATTATATTATAATAATATAATAAATAATATTAAGTCTACTTAGCGCTCTGTATGAGATACGAGACTTGTGTGGCAGTGTGGCATATAACCCACCGCGGTGTGGCAGTGTGGCATATAACCCACCGTGGTGTGGCAGTGTGGCATATAACCCACCGTACCCACCGTGGTGTGGCAGTGTGACATAACGCACCGTGGTGTGGCAGTGTGGCATATAACCCACCGTGGTGTGGCAGTGTGGCATATAACCCACCATGGTGTGGCAGTGTGGCAGTGTGGCATATAACCCACCGTGGTGTGGCAGTGTGGCAATGAAGCCCATGTCCTCGATGTGGTCCCTGATGTTCTCAGCGGAGGTGCGAGACGCCGCGAACTTTACGACGCCTTCCTTGTTGGCCAGCGACACCTGCAGCAGTTAATAAATAATTATCTGAATAATAATAATAATAATTTGAATAATTATGATAATAATATAGTTATCAATATAATAATAGTTATAATAATAATAGGCGAATAATAGTTATCCGAAGTAACTACATCGGTGCGACACCTGCATACGAATCACCATGTAGTTATTAGAGAGAAAACTCATAATATGTACATTTAAAATAACTTAGACGTAATAAAGGTAATAAAGAGGTACTAATAATCAATAAAAACTAAGAGGTAATAAATACGTATTAAAGCACGAAATTACCAATATGAAAGTATATATCCAAGATGAAAGAACCTAAACAGCGAATTTGTGAACAAATATCACTGAGAAGGAAAAAAGAAAATTCACGAATTGACATCTTCTTGTTAGAGTACGTAACAATTGTTTATAAAATATATGTTTGAAGGTATAAGAAACAATGCAAAGCTCAAATGTCACCTCAATTCACGAGTTGATATCTTAGTTTTAGGATACGTAACAATTGTTTATAAAGTATTAGAAGGTAGAAACAATGCAGAGTTCAAATGTTACCTCAATGCCCAGGACACCAGGCTTAGCACCCACGGTGCTCTCGATGTTCTTCACACAAGACTGACACGTCATGCCTTCAATGCCCACAACCACCACGTCCTCCTCTTCCTTCGTCGTCTCCTTCGTCTCGTCGCTCGTCTCAGGACCAGACAACAGCGTGGCACCAAACCCAACTTGTTCGATCACTCTACTGCAGAGTGAGGAACTCGTTAGCACTCCTGCTCGTGCTGTCATTAACAGGTTGTGTTCGATCACTCTGCTGCAGAGTGAAGTCGTTAGCACTCGGGCCCTAACAAAATTTAGAGTCGCCCTAGCTTCTGGTAACCCAAATCAGAAGCTGCCGCGTCTGTAAATTTTCACTGGGTGGAGCCATACTTTCAAAACTCGCTAAGTGAACGTAAGTACTTACGCTCTATTTTCTTGTCTATGATTGGTGGATTTGGCTTGAAAGGCTGTCAATGATTGGCTGATGGACTTACAACACTTAATTTTTTTAAAGTATGGCCCTGCTCTTGCTGTCATTAACAGGTTGTATCATATTTTGTATCTGAGACTCTTCTGATATTTCAGGTTTTTCTGCAGCTAAAATCTGTGAACAAATTTCGGGCAGACTTTTTGCAAATTTATCAAATTTATTACCTATTTGTGTTGATTTCAAGTCAATTTCGTTAGTTACAGTTCTTTGTTCAGCCATTACTTGTACCATCACAAATAAGATGTAAATTTTACGTAGAAATTAGTTTGACTCGTAAACTCAAATAAACAAACATTCCACGTTAATTTCAGTGAAATACAGTGCCCACAGCACGCATTGCTTCCGGTTGCACATTACAAATAAGCGCTAGGTGTAAATTTCGTATAAATTAGTTTGCCTTTTTGTGAATCTAAATAAACAAACATTTCGTGTTAATGTCAGCCCACAGCACGAATTGCTTCCGGTTAAAATTATTTATTCTTCTTAACAGCTTCACAGTGAAAAATGTATTAGGAATAAATTGTATTGTTTATGCCATGCCTCGCCTGACATTATGCTGCTGCATGGTGCTGACACATCAAGGCCAGTCTTGGCATTTATATTTTATAAATCATACAACTCACTTTGATTCTTATTATAAGTAAATATGTGCTAACAATATAATAGAGCATGAAGATCCGGATACGGCTAGGTATATCATTTGAAGCTGATAGAGTGCAGGCCGGTGTTACCTATAACAACGACACTTTGGAATGAAAATATAGTGAATTAGGCAATACATTCACCCAACTCAGGCTGGTAGTTACCTGACAGCATATGGAGGCGTGAGGCTGGTAGTTACCTGACAGCAGATGGAGGCGTGAGGCTGGGAGTTACCTGACAGCAGATGGAGGCGTGAGGCTGGGAGTTACCTGACGGCAGATGGAGGCGTGAGGCTGGGAGTTACCTGACGGCAGATGGAGGCGTGAGGCTGGGAGTTACCTGAGGCAGGTAAATACCTGACGGCAGATGGAGGCGTGAGGCTGGGGTCCAGGATGACAGCGGCGCGCTGCTGCTGCAGGGAGACCGTCACGAGCTTCACCCCCGCCACCCCCGCCACCGCCGCCTCTATCTTGCGCACGCACGCGTCCGACGTCATGCCTGCGCGCACGTCTTATGTTATGACGTCATGCCTGCGCGCACGTCTTATGTTATGACGTCATGCCTGCGCGCACGTCTTATGTTATGACGTCATGCCTGCGCGCACGTCTTATGCTATGACGTCATACTTGCGCGCACTCAGGCTCATCAAGCCTAGTGTTCATACTAAAGCTCATACTATCTATGTTGATACTATCTATGTCGGTTATCTATCTATCTAACAAGCCGATACTATCTATGTCGATACTATCTGTCGGTTATCTATCTATCTATAGAACCGATATTAACTATGTCCTAATGTTCATACTGAAACCGATACTATCTATGCCATACCATCTATGTTGATACTATCTGTCGCTGCAAGCTACGACACACATACAAATGAATGGGACAGAATGTCTAAATAGTGACATACTTTCTGCAAGTAACAATGAAGGGCCCTGCCCTCTTTTGCCGTGCCAAACATGGCTCGGGATGACCAACATCAGAACGAAATATGCATCGCTATTTAGACCGTCATTTCTCTTAGAGTACTCTTGCTGATAATTAGTAAAATGAACTTCAATTCCACGAAAGATTAATTGTCTCAATTTAGTGCAGTTGCTGCAACAGGTAACAACAATTATAAACTAGATAACTAAAGAATGCATGCATGCGAGGATGGTTAATACAATTGTTGGTTCAGATAATTAGTGACTTAATTCAGGGGAATTAGTGAATTAACTTAGGGTAATTAGTGAATTAATTTAGGGGAATAAGTGAATTAACTTAGGGTAATTAGTGAATTAATCATTTCGGACAATTCGCTTCTTTCATTATTAAAATCTAGAGTCAAGCACTAACACTATGATCATAATTTCTTATTATATCTTGGTAGGGAATACTAATTAACGTGCTGTAATTTGAAGTATCTATTTAGGGGAAATAATCATTCCGGGCAATTCGCTTTTTTCGCTAGAAAACTCTAAAATCAATCACTAATACTAGGATCATAATTTTTCATTATTTCGCGAGAGGGAATACTAATTAACTTGTCATAATTTCAAATATATTTAGCCCAGTTACCCCGCCCCATATGCGGGGTGACCAGGTATGCGGTTCTCACCTGTAATAGCGACCTCGACAAGCGTGTCCCCACAGGCGCAGTCGATGTCATCCACAAGTTTCTTGGACTCGAAGTTCTCGATGTCAAGAGAGATGTCGTCCATAGAGGACGTGGCACCATCACCCACGCTTCTATGTCCGTCACAATCACTGGGTAAGATGAGGCACGTGAAGCCCATGTCATCGATAGCTTCACATACCTGCTGGGGGGAGAGCATGGATGTGTCGTGGAGCACGGTAGCGCGACCAGGCTTCAGTTGTACTGTGATTTTGTTAACGCCTTCGAGGGCGCCGACGTGGGACTCGATGCTCTGTACACATGATTGGCATGTCATGCCATCCACGCTTAGAACAGTGACCGTCAACATTGTGGTAGTTGCCGAGCTTTGTTAACAAGATGAAATAACAAAAATAACAAATAAAGCTTCCGGGGTCTCGTGGTGGTTACGAGACTTACTTCACTAACTTATAATTCACTTCAGGCTTCAAAAAACACTCTTCACTAGAACCACCTGTAATAGATATTCTTCATCTGTTGAGCTTTTCAATAAATGGTGACAATCTTCTTCGATGTTGCCGAGCTTTGTTAAGAAGATTATTCAAATAAAGATTGCAGGGATTCGTGGTGGTTACGAGACTTGTTTCTCTAACTTATAATTCACTTCAGGCTTCAAAAAACACTCTTCACTAGAACTACCAGCCATAGATATTTTTCATCCGTTGAGATTTTCAATAAATGCTGACAATCTTCTTCGAAGTTTGACAGTTCGCGAGCAAATGGCAAGATGATCCATAAATTCAACACTCGCGATGCTAGAATTGTTCCATGATAACTTCGTGCTGGTCCGCAGTTAGTGGTTATAAAATATAACTCAGCTTCAGCATCAAATGCTCCATTGGCCTCAGAAGTTGGTAGTCGTTTGCCTGTTCACACTATCATTCTAAATCGAACATAAAACTATTTTCTGTTTAAATGGCAAGATTCATCAAAGCGTAATATTTATAGTTGTCTAGTGTTTCAGAAGTGTCACACTTTAGTCGCTGACATAACAGGAGCTATCACAACACTTGGCGCAGAGGAAGGACTGATATGAGCACAACTTATTCGCACAGCACGCACTCGGTTAATGAGATGAATGGACACGCACTCTATTAATGCAGCACACAAAAGTTCTTAGGTGTAAATACAAAATATATAATCTATTTAAGACGTCACTGAGTGATCCCGATACAATTGGTAAGTACTATGAAGCTTCACAAGCAGTTCTGAAGTACAGCATGTGAGCGTGTCTCGCAAGTTGAGGATATCACAACTTATCAACTATACTATAGTTCCCTGAAATGAAGAACGGTTCGTTACACAATAAAATATAGATAAACAATACATTTTGTCTAGCATTCATCAAGACATAGCTTTTTTTAATTCATTGCGTTTGATAATTATCTAAAAAAACTGTGAAGAAAACGCAGCAAACACGTTTGCAGTAAAAGACTTATAATGTGAAATGCTTAATGAAGCTATGACATAGTTAGCGAGCACTTGGTCTGAAGTGTGAACTGCAATGAACTGTAAACTACACTAGAACTGTCACGTCGCCAACAGACATATAATCGAAGGTCAAAATTATTAGATAAATGATCAGCGATCGCCTCTTGACCAGATAAAGATCAAGTGAAAAGATCTCACAAGGACCGGCAGGGTATATAGTGAGCCTTATAACTATGACATGACAACAAAGCACTGCGCTTATCAGGACTTGATAACAAGCACTCGACGGCTATTACATGTTGTAGCTGAAGGATATACGAGCACGGCTGCTAACGTCCTTCTCACGTTACAAGCCTGCGGCGTATGAGAGAATCTCATGTGACTCATATGAGAGAATCATATATGTGACTCATTTGAGAGAATCTCATATGTGACTCATTTGAGAGAATCTCATATGTGACTCATTTGAGAGAATCTCATATGTGACTCATATGAGAGAATCTCATATGTGACTCATATAAGAGTGTCTCATATGTGACTCATATGAGACTTACAAGCGTTCTTTATAAACAACAATCTAGAAATGGTTGTGAAAAATCTATATATGCAACTATAATAATAAAAATAACTGTAATAATAACAAATAGGTAATAGTAAAGCTATTGTATGATGATTAAAGAAAGACACGTGTAGAACCACGTTTTATATAGAACATAGATCTAGCATTTGGCCCTCGTTTTAAAAAACCTAATAATACTATTTTGCTTCATTTAAATTAAATTAATGAACACCGTTATGAAAATCAAATTTCAATTAGTGAACTTCCTTCTTCACTTCCTTCCATTCCTTTACGCCTTACTACTCTTTCGCTATAAATAGATTTTCAGGTCAATTAATATATCCCGAAGCGATTAGTATCCTGGATACGCGCCCCCCCCCAAATTTGACAAATATTTTCATGATAATTTGTGAGTTAGAGCGACCAATGGACTAATTGAAGAATCATTTATCTAAATGATAAATGCCCAATAAATTGAGAGAGATTTGCGTCAGTGTTCAATTTGCCGCCCGAGACAAATTACATAAGCGAAATAAGCAGCTACTATGACGATGTTTGCAGTAATATGCTACAAGATCGCAGTTCATAAACATGATACATGAAAATAAGATGAGCTTAGGCACGCAATGGTCAGGTCGCCGACCTCTCAAGCTCCACAGATGAAGCACCTCACTGAACTTGCAAATTGGGACCGAGATATTCTCTGTGTAAATGGCTCAGAGTTCAAGATATTCCATACTTAAACTTCAAACACACATAAATATACATTCATACATTCCATACATAAACGTCAATCACACATAAACCTACATACATACATACATTAATATTAGATGGCAGAATTTACTTGTTTATACGCGCGCAAGTTGAAGAAAAGTTATATAAAGAAAAGTTACACTCCCTGATGATATAAATCAACGAATTATCTGGTCATCAATCGCGGGTGGATGAACATACAAACATACATTCCATACATAAAAACATCAACTAGACGTAGATCTTGCGGCAGACTCCATGTACTGTAGTTCAACTGCAGTTATCAAGAATGCAAACAAATCCTGAAAACTTGGCGCCTTGAGCCCACACAACGCCACACCACTTGGCGCCTTGAGCCCACACAACGCCACGCCACACCACTTGGCGCCTTGAGCCCACACAACGCCACGCCACGCCACACCACTTGGCGCCTTGAGCCCACACAACGCCACGCCACGCCACACCACTTGGCGCCTTGAGCCCACACAACGCCACGCCACACCACTCGGCGCCTTGAGCCCACACAACGCCACGCCACACCACTCGGCGCCTTGAGCCCACACAACGCCACACCACTCGGCGCCTTGAGCCCACACAACGCCACACCGCTTGGCGCCTTGAGCCCACACAACGCCACACCGCTTGGCGCCTTGAGCCCACACAACGCCACACCGCTTGGCGCCTTGAGCCCACACAACGCCACACCGCTTGGCGCCTTGAGCCCACACAACGCCACACCGCTTGGCGCCTTGAGCCCACACAACGCCACACCGCTTGGCGCCTTGAGCCCACACAACGCCACACCGCTTGGCGCCTTGAGCCCACACAACGCCACACCGCTTGGCGCCTTGAGCCCACACAACGCCACACCGCTTGGCGCCTTGAGCCCACACAACGCCACACCGCTTGGCGCCTTGAGCCCACACAACGCCACACCGCTTGGCGCCTTGAGCCCACACAACGCCACACCGCTTGGCGCCTTGAGCCCACACAACGCCACACCGCTTGGCGCCTTGAGCCCACACAACGCCACACCGCTTGGCGCCTTGAGCCCACACAACGCCACACCGCTTGGCGCCTTGAGCCCACACAACGCCACACCGCTTGGCGCCTTGAGCCCACACAACGCCACACCGCTTGGCGCCTTGAGCCCACACAACGCCACACCGCTTGGCGCCTTGAGCCCACACAACGCCACACCGCTTGGCGCCTTGAGCCCACACAACGCCACACCGCTTGGCGCCTTGAGCCCACACAACGCCACACCGCTTGGCGCCTTGAGCCCACACAACGCCACACCGCTTGGCGCCTTGAGCCCACACAACGCCACACCGCTTGGCGCCTTGAGCCCACACAACGCCACACCGCTTGGCGCCTTGAGCCCACACAACGCCACACCGCTTGGCGCCTTGAGCCCACACAACGCCACACCGCTTGGCGCCTTGAGCNATGGTGTCGTGCGCACAACTGACAAGGCACCAGCACGTATGTTGGAGTGAAGGTGTCGTGCGCACAACTGACAAGATACCAGCACGTATGTTGGAGTGAAGGTGTCGTGCGCAAAACTGACAAGATACCAGCACGTATGTTGAAATGAAGGTGTCGTGCGCAGAATATATCACATGTGGGAGTCACGGTACCGTGCGCACACTTGGCCAAGTCCCGCGCACAACTAGGATACAATACAGAGGGCTAGACCACGGCAGTGCGCTAGCACTGAAAAGTAAATAAAAAAGGGGAGAGTGAGAGAGATCTGCTCGTCAGGGAGCCGATATCAAGGTCGGCTGAAACTTTTTAGCCTCTAACCAAGTAAACTTGACTAACCAAGACTCGTTTCTATTCAAGTTCATATAATAGTATTTTTTATAATAGTATAGAAGTGTCAGCACTGAAGAAATAGGCCCATGGCCTGTTGCCGATTCTTGTACTTTTCGTGACTTGATTCACAAGGTATCCGGCCTTTGGAACTCGATCTTTCCACAACTGACGATTGATTGATTCCAATTGATGCGATAGGGAACGCATTTCCGTACAATTTATAGCCCTGTTCTTTTCCTGAGACATCAGAAAGTAAAGGTTGACGATCCCTAAGCTGTAGAATGCTCAAGTAATTTATTTTAGTACAGAGCGGCGCGTGTGAGGAAGTAATCTCTCCAAGCAAGTAATCTGTAGAGTTTGCTGACACGGCATTGATAAAGGCCATTAAAAGTGCATGAACTCTGCTGTTGTCATACACAGCTTTTACTATACATGCACACAGTGTTTACTACGCATGTACACAACCTCGACATGAACACAGTAGGTTAGCGTGTGCGCGTCCATGAAGAATTCTTAGTCGGAAAAAATAGCATAAAAACTTACCTATAGTTCGCGCGACTTGCACTCTCCAGTCAAGCCAGCCTCGGAAAACCCCGCATTGAAAAAATTATCCCGATAGAAAATTGAAGCCCAGCTAATTCCGTACACAGTCAGGCGCTTAAACAAACATGGATTATAATAGAGCGTTAAGAATATATTGATAATCCTTTAATCAAGCAACACCACTAATAGGTTACGTTTATGAAGGCTTTTATTAGTCATGCCTACATAATCGCAGCCTTTATTTGTGCATCAAGATGCACTTAAAATTAAAAAATATACGTTTAAAAACTACTTTTTAAAGACAACACTTCCAAAGAATCCAGTATCTTCAATCTTACAGATGTACAATGAATTTCTCATCTAATTTTCGTCATGCATTGTCTCCAACTTTACACAAGTGTGCAAAATTTCAGATCGATAGGATAAGTAGAAGTGTATTAAATTTAGATTACAAGATTTGTAGCAGACAGACAGACAAACAGACAGACAAACAAGAAGTGAAGTTAAAGAGAAGTGTTGTAAAAAATAGGGTTAAAGCTTCTTTGATTTACACTTTCAAACTTTAAGCAAAGCTGCATAATTAATCAGATGCGTTTTTCAGGGCTTCTTTCTTCCAATTTAGTCTGCGTTTATCAATAAAAATATTTTTTTCACCTACAAAGCACTTGGATTGAATATCTGTACAATAAGTGGATGCAATAAGCAAGAGATAATTATTCACTAGGACAATGACAAGCCTAAACCCAGGCTCCGCTTAATTGACTGTGGAAGTTGCCCAAGAACATAGTTAAAAGTTCAAGCTTTATCAGTTTTAAAATAAGGGTTTGGACCAGAAATTTTGATTTGATAACATGCCCATTTGAATTATTAATCATTTTTTAATTGTGATTTTAAAATAGTACCTACCAGCAGTATTCATAGTTAAAATTAACAAAAAGTACAGGCGGTCAACATTTTTTATATCTAATGAACATTATTTTCCCATAATAATTATAAATATATTCCGTCTGTCTTCAATAACTCACGGTTAAGGTAATTTGATCATAAGCACAGCTTACATTTTTTTAGGAGTTGAACAATCTGTACAAAACAGACTTAAGTTGACTAGGTTAACAAGCTGCTTGCTGGCAAAAATGGGGCTATCAAGCTGGATTTCAGAAATGGTGATATA